TTTTCAGGTTCCTGCTTATCCTGCCTAGAGCGTGGTTTGTTACAAGACTTCTCATACTCTCTCTTCGTTCCATACCTGGAACAGGCAAATTTTGCATCAATAAATTCCCTAGATGTCTTTGAGCGACGACTGTTCTGTATGGCAGTATTGAACCCCATGGAACGGGCATATTCCTGATAAAACGCATATGCTGAACTGTGCGATTCAAATTCCATGCCAGAAAGCGGTTCAAGATTTGTTCCTTCTTTGGTTTCAATGGCTCTCATTGGGGAATTTACATTTCCGCCTTCTGTAGCATGTACATCTTCTGAAACATTAACCATGGTTAGAGTCTCTGCCTCTGAACTATGCAGCTTGTCTTCGTTTAACATATGATCAATTCCATTTGTTTCATCATCTTCCTTATCATGCCCACCCGAAGGCAACCTCAGATCAATATCCATGGGATGAATTAACAAGGAACTATAGCAAATGCCTCGGTTATATCACCTGAAAAGGGTCAATAGAGATAGCATCAGAGTCGAAGTAGCAAATCCCTTGGTATTATACCACTAAAGATCCTTACATCATGGTAACTGAAATCAGTTGCCACAGGTTCAAGCTTAGTCGACAGAAATGTTTTCACTTATCATGTTGCTACTAGTCAGACACCTGAACATAAGTATGAAGTGAATACGAACAGGACACATAATCAAGTGAACCCAGCACAACTCACACCATCACAAGGTCGAAACCAAACCCAAACCGAGAAACTGACAGTAAAGCGATCATCATAGCAAGACATTACATGAACAATCACCTTAAGCAGCTATCAGTACCAAACATGATCCAGGCAGCTCATCTAAAATGCAAAAAGAACAGCGTTTTCCCCAGACTGGATCATTCTGCCTGGAAAAGAATGTGGGATCTGTCAATTCGAATGTTCTCAAACCCTATTCCACCAACGTGAAAAGATCATTACTTCCTAGTTTCTACCTATACCTGCCCATTTCAGCTAAAGCTGAAGCTGACACCTCCAGAATTACATCTTTACAAGTATTCTCATACACGCAGCTCAGCCAAGCTTTTCAGTTTTCAGTTTTTCCTCTCCAAAGGAATCGAAGGAAAAGGGGGGAAATTCGGTCACTTAATCGAGACCCCCGTGTATCATTATGTCAGTATCATAATGCAACAGGTATACACTATGACTCCGATCAAAGCAAGGTGGCCACTTCTCGTTCACCATTTTACCAGCAACCAAATAGAAAAACCAGAAAAGGAAACCAGAAGCTTGAGAAGAGAGAGAGAAGGAGGTTGGATTTAGAGAAAGGAACCTCAAAGTAATTCTTCGGAGAGAGGAATCCACGCGAAATAAAAGCAGCGAACCGCAAAGAGGCGAGTGAGGGACACAGAGCGCGTTAGAGAGAAGGGACAGAGAAAAAATTAGGGTTTTTTTCCAGATCTAATGGAATGTTGCCACTCGCTTTTCTCCTTCACTCGCTTCCGCAGCTTCTGCTTTCCCTCGTTTCGACTCGGCGCGTTATTCAATCCTTCGTCTTCTTCGTTTGGGGTTCTTTTGATGTATACTTAATTTTTCCCCCCTTATTACTCCTCTCAATTAATTATTTTGGTTTTCGTTTACACGCCTGGCGCGTGTGTCTTTGAAAGCAACTTTAGGCAAATTTTCTTTTTATAATTTCAGCATTAGTTATTACCAATTACGATTATTTTTTCTCCCAATAATTTATGACGATGATTCTCTCACAGGGAAAAAAAACTACACTAATCACAACTGACATTTTTTTAAATTAAAGATAGCTTGTATTACGAAGAATAACAAAGATACAACGTTTAGGCCTCCGAACGGAGCCAAACTGACATTGTTCCTTTTCCGTTGGTCAGATGAATTTTGCGTTTTATTTTATCAATTAAGTTTCAATTAAACTTAAACTACTTTAAATCATTTATATTTCCACAAGAATATCTTTGTGGTCTCAATATATAGGTTTATGAGATAGTAATAAGTTATTGTTTATTTCTCAACTAACTGGATGATATTTAAGCAATGATTTTTAGTCTTTAATTTTAACAATACATACTTCAAAGAATTCAATTTCAACTTGATAAATATGGTTTGCAACAAGTTTATCGTATGCATGTGTTCATTTGTTTATGTGGAAAAAGAAGTCCAGTATAATTTATAGAATATTGTGGATCATTTACAATAAATAAAATATTAGGGATCATTAACCATAGGTACACATATTAAACATGAAAAATATAAGAGATCATTAACATGTGTATTTGAGACGTCTTCTCTCTCTCAATCTAAAGAGTAAAATCCTTGTCTTATCTTATGAAAGTGATTAGGTGCAAGTTGCTTCATTTATTAACCTTATTACCCTAATACATGAGTTTCTGATTAAAGTAATTCTAGGTTTTCAATCTTAGCTTGCAATTGAGTTTGTGATTCCCGTCTAAAGATCTAGACCTTGTCAATATGCAATCGTTTCTTTATTACTTGTATTTTGAACTATAACAAAATGATTTGGCTTGTGTTCTCTTATAAATCATAGGAATATTCAATCATAGGAACTACAGTCCACAGTAGCCCATGATTGAATGGTCTTTATAGATAATCTAAGACCATTCAATCATAGGAACTACGCATTTGTGTGCTTCTAAGACTGGCTACTTTACAAAAGACATGCATAATAATCCAAGAGCATTCAACCAAAATACCTAGGAACTATGCATTCGTGTGCTATCCATGTGATTTCTTGTTCGTTGCCATCATTTGTAGTCCATTTTCCTAACAATGATAATGATAAAGAAGGGACATCCAAGAACTATTACTGAGAGAACTTGAATCCATTTGATACATGATCACATTTGCAGATAGAACTAATGCTGTAAGCAGACTGAGCAATATGAGTTCATCATATCTAGTTTTCATAAGTTTGAAGCTCATCAAGAAATAACCAACCACATAATCACAGTAAAGTTATCAGGAGTTTCCACTGGCTTGGCAACAAAGGCGGAGAGAGATATCTTTCCAAAGCCAACCAAACGTCCTACCTAATAAGAGATGACAGATTTTACTCCCGTTACCAGTTTGCTAGGAAACTCAATGGCTAGAGACCTTTAGCAGCAACAGCAGAAAAGTACTCCAGGTACTACCCAAATCAATGCTTGTAGATTTCCAAACAACCTGCTCTTGCTCTTGCATATAACTTGAACAGGTCCAGAAACACACAAATAGCTGGTATCTTCGTAGCTTTAAAACATTTGAAGTTGCTGGGAATTTTGCTGGTACTGCCACTTAATCAACATGCCTTGGTCAAGGATAAAATATGTTCCTGAATCAGATGTTGGATGGATCTCGAAGGTCCCCTAGACTTGTGCAGCACCACAGAATGATTCCTCACCTGTAATGAAGGAATCTACATGCCAAGTTCAATCAATCATCCAAGGAAGATATAAGGCATCCTAGATTATAACAATGTGAAGCAATACATAGCCAACAAGAAGATAGTGAAGAAGGCCATCCAGAAAGCATCCGAGAACCTCAAATGCATTTGATCAATCTAGCAGCTGGCAGCAAAGAAGACATGAGGTTGCATCTCGACGCTGCACGACTTCAGCCGGACAATGTTGAACATTAACCTAGCTTTCTTCCAAGGTTGTTAGAGGAACTACAAGTCTAGAACATCAACCGAATAAAAAACAACCCCGAGCCAATGAAATCACCGAATTTCTGTTTAGGACACCTCCATATCAATACCCAGTTTCTAGCTTTCTGATTGGATGTACAAACTGAGCAGGAAACCTGTAAGTAGAATCTAAATAGAATCTTCGGGGTGTGAATACTTAAGATACCAATCCGGCAATAACCAATCCTACGCCCCCATAAGCTTCCATTTCAAAATTAAGTTGACAGACTGCTGTCAGTTCTTTTCTGGGACTCCATTCAAGATCCCCAGTTCACGATTACTGCCAGAGTTGAGGGCTCCGAAGTGGAGAAGAAGATCGGCAACTGGAATAAGTCAAAGTGACGATCCTCTAAATTATAAGGCGAAAACGGACATAGTCTATCCATAACCACCAACTGGGTTTATGCGCCATCCCTAAATCAAACCAAGCTACCAGCATCGGGGAGCCCCTGATGCAGATCCTGATCACCCCTTCCCTGCCGCCTCCCTCCAGAGCTCTCCGCCGCCGCAGGAGGAATCTTGACGATGGTCGGCGGTGGGTGCTCCATCTCAGGCACAGTGAAAATGACGGAGAGAGAAAGGGAAGCAGCAGCAAGGATAGACTTTAGAGAGTGAGAGAGGGAGTAGTGTCAGTGGAGTAAGTTACCCGTTTGGTTGGCGGATTTCATTATTTTAAGACCAATAATTGAAGGACGGTGACGCCAAAAGGACAAAGTGAAGCTTGGAGTATCTGTTCTGCAGGAACAAGTAAAGTAACGACATGGACAAAGCATCATTCCTGGGACTAGTTTCTATTCACCAAACATGGGCACAAGTTAAAGAGGAGCAGAAGGGCAGCTGGAATGACAACAGATCACCATCACCATCTCCATCTCAGATCAAGCAACATTGCAATGCAACAACATGTAAAAGGACAGATAACCGGAGAAGAGGGGGATTCATATTCATACAAATAAAACCTGGGAAAACAATAGTCCACAACCAAAATGAATGGATCATTGTGTCGTCACTGAACATATCATCCGCAGATTGAGCAAAACACAGTTTAGTGACACCCGAAACCATAAGTCCCACTATTTGATCAATTCGGAAGGACATGGCAATAGGAACATCATGACTACCATTTAACATGGAAGATCAGCATCTCATAGAACAAGCAATAACACGTCAAGAATGATCATATTCTGTTAAAGTAGTGACTGAAACACATGAACTGAAGTGAAGCATAAGGGAAACTTGGATGAGCAATTGAACCGACATAAGACAATGAATTTTCTGGATCTATCTATGATGTCATTCTCCCTTCTAGGACTCCGTAAATGACTTTCTTATTACGAAACACTGTCACAACCGATGAATCGGAAATGGAGCATCTTGATAAGGAAAAAACATACCCAATTTCATATACGCGTTGAGCTTACATGCACACAGTATTTTATGGGCCATCTATCGTATAGTACTCTTATTCCATGTTCCTTCTACGACACTACAAGAGTCTCATTTTGCAAATTCCAACACCAATGATATATTTCGAGGGAAGCATAATGGAAACTAGAATGAGTAGATGTCATCTCAATAGCAAGGCAGAAGAGGACATAACTTTCTGACCAAGATTGTTCCCAACAAGCAATTTGGGACTAAAGTTACACACCTAAAGACTTGATGCTGAAGTAACTTCTGCAGCTCTATCAGTCATCTTATCTGCAGAAGGCTGTTCCAAATGGGCATTTCGTGAAAAATTAATCGCAACTGGAGGCTTCCTTGATCTCACACGTTCGTAGTCTATGGCCCACATGGGATTGTTCTGCATTCAAATCCAAATATATGAGGGACGTGCCAAGATAAACCAAGTTCTAACAAGATTCCTGAATCACACATGCTGAGTTACTGTACATCTTTACATGCAAATTCTTTTAATATATAAAAGCTGGCTACGCTTTTTCGCCCTCTTGCTTTTGTTACTGTTTCAGTTTTTGTCGTTTTGTGACAGATGGTGAAGGATTTCTGGGGAGGCTCTTCGGCGGTCGTCCTCGCACGGCGAACATGCGTCGACTGTTACCGGCCCAGCCCAAATTTAGCTTTGACACTCGGCCATGCTTTCCGTACCGACCGTACCCCCTAGAAGCGACCTTCCTTCCTTCTGCTTTCGACGGTGCCGTGTTTCCCAGTTCTTACCCAAATCCCGCTGACGACCATGCCGCTCTCCTACCGCCCGTACACCACTGCTGCGGTTGCCCCCAGTTATTGCAACTGTCTTACCATCCTTCCATAAATTCTCTGCACCACGCCACCGGCCTCTGCACGCAACCGGTACAACTCTTGCCTAAGTGATTGTTTTCCCTGTCAACTCATACCTCTCTCTGCCATTCTTCTTTCCCGACCCAATCCCCCATTCCACCTCCAAAGCGGCAGAACCTTCACTCGAATGTCCTTTCCTTTCCTTTTCTTCTTCTCTCTTCTCTGTTAGCACTTCTACGATTGAATCCCTAGCTGGCCGGCCGTAGCTCCACTCTCCGTCAAGGTTACAGCTAAGTGATTGTTTTCCCTGTCAACTCATACCTCTCTCTGCCATTCTTCTTTCCCGACCCAATCCCCCATTCCACCTCCAAAGCGGCAGAACCTTCACTCGAATGTCCTTTCCTTTTCTTCTTCTCTCTTCTCTGTTAGCACTTCTACGATTGAATCCCTAGCTGGCCGGCCGTAGCTCCACTCTCCGTCAAGGTTACAGCAACTACATCAGGTATTCATTTATTTCATTCATTTGGTTTGGCCAGAGTTCCTTTGGCGGGGTTTCTCTCCTTCGTCTGGGTTTGGTCGTTCAGGGATGGACGAATCGTCAGTCCAAAATGATTCCTTTTTCTTTCTAATAGATTTCACTTTCTCTTTTGGCCAGAGTTGCTTGGACGGGTTCCCCATCACTACTCTCCGCCCGCTTCTTCTAGATTTCTGATTTCGTGCTCCACCCCGAGGTATGGGGATGAACAATTGTAGTGGTCGGAACTGACTGATGATCATGGAGTGTAGGCAAGAAGTTGAATCATTTGATCCCGATCCGTATGCATCCTAATTTCGTATACTTTGTATTAATTTCTTAAACTTTCCCGTTAACAATAGGAGGAGGAACACCTCTCCCCCCGTCTTGATAGGGAGACCTCTGATATTTTCGGTCATTTTCACAGAACCAACCCTGTTACTCTCTCTTTTACAGAGAATAGCTTTCTGGCAAAGAGAAAATCCATTCATGGGTCTTGGTTCAAGATTGGACTCGGAACGTTGCACGCGTCCGCCTACTGTATTTGATTCAGTGCCATCTGAACTCAGAATTCCATTTTTTCCATATCGCAAGTACTTTGTTGTGAATGCAATAGATGCATGTTTTTCTCTTCTACTAGATGTAACATGCATGTGCTATCTGGCTTCCAAAATTAGAGAGGTTGTTGTTTATATTCTGTTATTTAGTTCTTAAGTGGTTACTTGGTTTGAGTGTTTTTCAGTTTGTGCTCTGCACCTTCAAAGTCAGAAACCTGTGCTGCTTTTGATCTTTATTAAAATTGGCTCGATTTGCCTCTTATCACATTGTCAAGCAGGGGCTTTGTGCTTGAAGTAACCTTTCAAGTCTGTGTCTGTTTCCCTTTCATTACAGGGATCACAATGAGTCGTTCGAAGTTTTGTGCCTCCAACATCAGATTTTGATGAGCTTTCGTGCCTCCAACATAAGAGTTTGTATCCCTATTTCAGCTATTTACATTCACAACAACACATGAAGAAAGTTTCCATGCATTTCCAGAAAAGAGTTTAGCCTTTGTGCATTAGTGGACAAGTACAAGGATTAGTGATTACATATGTGAATCATGTGCTGAGTTGTTAGTACTTTAGCCCGTTTTTGTTGTCTGCATGATTAGTGATTGCCTCTCTACGAACAGGCTGTGGTTAGTGCATTATTTTTGGTTTGGGTAGCTGTCGGATGGGAAGGCGTATTCTATTGAATGTTTGTCTGTTGGTTTAAAATGGTCGTTCTCAGTTTTCTTATTTTATTATGCTGCAGAACCAATTGGGAGTTCAAATACCAGCCTTTGTACATCAAATTTACACTGCGTTATTGATCATAATTCAGTAGGGAAAGTCCATGTACATATCATTACATCTACATGTTTTGATCATTGCTCTTAGTAATTGTTCTGTGCTTTCTATGAAAAGGAGTTTGATTTAATTTCCTTTCTTTTGATTTAGTTGTAACCACCCATTTGACATTTTAGTTGTTTCCTTTGTTAAAGTTCTGTGGCAGCACCTGCATTAGACTTGCTGCTGGATCAGCTGAAAGACGTGTTCGATGTTTCTCGCATTTCTCTTTTTGCCCTTACCGCCATGGAACCGAGTTTCATGATAGAGATGTAGCTTTGTTCTTTTGTCATCACTAATGTGAGTATGATGAAACTCTTACTTTTCCTTTATCTGCATCCTTACTTTTAATTTGAGTTTCATGATTTCCTTTGTTTCTGGGACAGGAGAGGCTCATAAGCAAGGACAAGAGAAACAATGTCATATTTGATCATCGGTGGAGCCGGCAGTGTTGCAGACAGCAGAGAGTATGAGTAGTCGTTTAGGACTATTTCGAGTTTGATTTGCCTCGAGGTGGTGACGGGTACAAGGGACTATTTTACTTCTGCTGCTTTTTATTTGTTGGTTGGCCATGACTGTTCCCCCTTCTTTAGTTCTCATTTTGTGTTTTGTAGCAATTGATGAATCAAGTCCTGGCCCCTGGGTTAATCTCTTAATTTTCATAGATTATTTCCAAGTTAGGAGGTGTTCGTGTATTTCATTATTCTCCTTTCTTTTCTTTACCTTCAGTTAGATGAAGTTTCAGTAGTACTGTGGTTTGGTCTTTTTCATCCTTATAACCTTCTGGTATGTAATAATCAAATTATATTGGCCTTTCTTTTATACATATCAATTAAACATTAATACAAGGACTCGAGGAGTTAGAGACATTTGACTTTTGGCTTAGCAACAATGTTATTTATTGTTCATTCTTCAACCAGTGACTTCACAACTTGCAGTCTGAGACAGATTTTGGCTTACCAACAATGTCCTTCAGGTCAGCTAAGTTCTGAATAATGCCCATTTTGATGTCCAGCACTTCGAAAGATATAACTTTTGTTTGAATATGAGATTTGAGTCCTTTTTGTCTCTTTGATGCTCCATTCTCCGTTTTGTCTTGAGAGCCTTTGATTTAGTCCCTGTTGTAATTGGAATTAGGATGCTTGGAGGACAGCAGCAAGCGGTCAAAACTTGGTACCTCTAATTGAAGAATGTTCCTCTAAAAACCTTAGCTCATAGGTTTGTATGTTGATGGTTCCAACTAATGGCATATGATTTTCTGAACATATTTTCACTAGATGCAAGATTATATGCTGCTAAGAGCATGATCCACCATGTCAACTAAGTGTTACTTTGAGTGAAGCTTTATTTTCCTTTGGAAGAGGACAAACTCCCAAAAGATTAGACCAAGTGCTTAGCTCCAAGCTTCACGGATAAGAGTTGATTCGTTCCTGTGCAGAGAGGAGTTTAAGTGCTACCTCACTACTATTCGACATGATGGATAGAATTACCTCACTACTATTCATTTCTTATCAGCGGTTGCTGTGTTTACTTAAGGATGCTTTGGCCCCAGATTGTCCGTTAGCCAGTGTATCTTTCATGTCGAATATTTGGTTGATCATTGTGTGTATTGCTTTGCCCAGTACCAAGGATGATTCTAGGTCAGTAACTTGACATTGGTGCTCCTTCAAAAACAGTGGTGTGACGAGAAGAGGACACCTAAAGTTGTCCTGCGCAATTCCAGAGAAGGAATCAATCATGTTAGGTGAGTTTCTCAATTATCAATCTCTTAGCTCTATTCCTTCCTTTACTGCTTGCTGAAGTCGCTGAGTCCCAAGAGTGAATCATGAAATTGGTGGTACCTAAGTTTCTTCAACCAAAATCATTGGCATGTTGGTACCTGTATATAATGAACTAAATTTATCACTCTTATCAATGAATCTGAAGCTAGCAGTCCCATTTGGATTTTCTTTTGTTCAGTTGTTGCTCATCCTAGATAAGTCTTCTTTGATTCATAATGCTTCGTTGGTAACATTTGACTTTCACTTTTGGTTGTTTCTGATATTGGATTGCAATGGGATACCGCTGCACAATGTGTCCCTCTCTTTGATGAGCTCGACTCTGTTGCAACTTAAGTATGGTTATTGTGTCATGTTGTTGGTTTTGAATCTTATTTTCTATTGTGTACGCAGAGAGGAGGCAGTGTTGGAGAAACAGATACATTATGATGTTGTAGCTGTAACTGCCGCTGCTGGGCTTGCTCTTGCCGATGAATGAGTGTAAGCGAGAGGGAGGAGTATATTATCTTTCCTGCTGCTGGACTAATGTCTAACTGAATCCGCAGCATTAAGAGATAAATTCTGGGTTAGTCTCCACCAAAGTAACTTGAGATTTTCCGTATTTGCTATGATATTTTAGTTAGTTTGATTTATCGACTAGAAAAGTTGTTGGACTCTGAAAGGAAAGAGCTCAATAACCTTAGTTATCTTCATTAGACGTTGAATTATGTAGATGATCAACAATTCTTTTAATACCACAGTGACAGATTGGGAGTGCACCTCTTATTTGTTTACTTCCACTACTGCAAGTGCATTTTTGTAGGTAGAGGAGTACTTTAGTGACTTTTTCCCACATTTTTTTGATAAATTCAGTTTCGTTGGGTATGGATTGATGATGACGACTTCTCATTTCTCAAAATATTACTTGAATTTTATCAAAAGATAATAGGACCTTGGATTGATTTTATGTTTCAAATAATGAGTCTCATATGTAAACATGTATTTCCTTGGGGTAAGTTCGATATAGAACTTACATACCTAATGATGAGTTTACAAAGGTATTAAGGTAACTCTTTTCAACTTATGTTTTGCAAGTAACATTGTGGAATAATTATACGCTGTCTTGCATAACAATAAACCTATTAAACAAAAAATTTATACCCGTTTTACAAGTTCTAACTATTTCCGTTTTGAATTTTGAATATACTACTTTTACCTATGTCAAATAGGACTAAACGTCCCCGCGGCGTAGCCGTGGGTATTGATTCTAGTATAACTTGAAAAACAATCTTCAAGGAACGCCAAACCATATATAAGAAATAATAGTAGCAAAAGGTAGTTCTTTAGCCCAAGCAAAGGACGACAGTACACCCATTAAAGCACATCAAAATCCCAATCCAAAGTCAAGTTTTCCAAATAACTGAACCTCCAAATAATTTTTGCCGCTTGCCACGCACAAGAGTACTTCCGCCACACATTTCCACTAATTAAATTTAGCCTTTCATCAACCAACAATGCTTCAGAACCACAAAGGGAGAACGGAAAAGTTTTCCCCTTTTCGCTGCTAATTCCTAGTTCACTGCTTTCTTTCATGGAGGCTAACCTCGGAACTGCAGGTAAGGAATGCAAGTCCTTCAAGAAGTCCACGGGTTTCTTGGAGCTCATTTGTGTTTCTTCCACCACTAGGCAGTCACTAGGACATTGAACAGGCGAGCACCTGATCATCTTATTCTAAAGCAAAATCCGACCTAATTCCCATATAGGCATGTAACGGACATGCATAAGGTATTGATCTATCTTATGATTAGTACTCATTATGAAGTTCCCTTATAGGACTCGATAAAGTACTTCCTACTTACAAGACAATGCCGCAACCGATTAATCTGAAGTGGAGTAGAAGGGGAACTTGAATGAGTAACTAATCATCTTATGTTGGGCAAAACCGGACCCAACTCTAAATAAGCATTGGATCGACATGGACCAAAAAATTTGGTTCTATCTATGAAGTATTCATTTTCAACTTCCCTTTTAGGACTCATAATAGACATTCAGTTTGCAAAATGCAGTAACCATAATAGATTCAAGGGGAACAAAATGACAATAGATGAGTGGATGATAATCTCAACAATTGGTTTCACGAACAACAAGGTCCCAACAAGCAAATGATGAGTCAAATCGAACAAGACTGTATAACAGAGGCAACTGTTTATCTTGCTAAAGCATGAAGCATTCCATAGGCTCTTGTTGGACACAGAAAAAGGGTTTCAATTTGCAGAAAGCAGTATCAATAAATCAAAGGAATTAATGGGAAACCGAAAGGTAGCAACAAATCGACAACTTAGATCAAGCAACAACACAGACCTTCCAAACAGATGAAAGGGAACATTATACGAATAATCAGAGCAACATTGGTCCAACCAAAATAAATGGATTATCATATTGCTACAGGACAATCATCCTTGAAACCATTTTCACCGATTCATGGTAAACACATTTCTAGGAAATCAAGACAGATTGAGAATACACAGTTTAGTAATGACAACCATTTGACAGGCATATCAACATTAGGACCAGCAATATCACTTCAGGAGTGGTGTCGTAGTCTACTAAAGCTGTTTTATCGAAACAAAAAGCATGCACTATCATGTAATCCTTGGATTTTGGTAACAAGACACTGACACAGCATTTACCATTCCTAAGTTCCTTTCGTTTCAAGATTTCCAGCTCATGACTGATCCTCTTGATTATAACGCGATAGAAGACCCACGTTTTAGATCAGCAACAAACTGGACATGACCGAGTATATTTTGGATCTTTCAATAATGTTATAAGGAACCAGAATTCAAATCTTCTTTCTCGAGCTTTCTTCCTTGTATCCATAGAAAACTTCAAGTTACTCAATGCATCACAACTGATGCATTTTAAGAGGGAGCTGAAGGGAAACTTGACAAATACGTGATACCTCCGTAATTAGGCAAACTGGATGAAATTTTATATAAGCACAGAACCAACACATATAGCATATTTTTTCGTATTTTGTTAAAAAGTAACTATATTGTAGTATTCATTCTGAAAGTCTTACCTGAGACTAGTTCCACACAGGAGTTTCAGCTTGCAAAATGTTGTCGTGATTAAAGATTTAAAAGGGGGCAAAATGCAACTGGAATAAGTAGATGATCATCTCAATAAGAAGGCAACTTGAATGAGTCCATGATCAAGAAATCTTCCTTTCTCAAAGAGTAAGGTTGCGGCAAGCGGAATGAGTAAGTGATATCTTTTCTATGTAATGGTGACATAATTTTATTATGCATTAAGAAAAAGAACAGAGAAAACAAAGTTTCCCTATTTGTACTAGGCCATTATAAGTTGACTTTTCAAGAACAAAAACAGCAGCAAAGGAATATAAAGCAACAACAGAGGAATGAGTAACCGGCCATCTCAACTTTAGAAAGAACCTAAACTAAATTCCAGATAAATAGTGAACTGAAAGGACAGAGTATTTTCTGGGTCTCTATGACGTACTACTCATTTTCAAGTCTTCTTCTACGAATCGATATACTATTGTATGGTTATAAAACCTGGTCACCACTGAAGTGGAACAGAAGAGCAACTGGAAAGAAAAATTAATCATCTTATGCTCGGCAAAATCAGACCCAACCTTCAGCTAATTTATTGAACTGATATGCAAATGATATTTTCTAGGTCTAACTACCTGGTACTCATTTTCAAGTTCCCTTCAGTCACCATCATAGATTCAAGGGGACCAGAAGGACAACCAGAATGAGTAAATGGTACTCTCAAATACTGGTTTCACAAACAACAACGTCCCAACAAGCATATGATGCGTCAAATTGCTGAAGACTGTATAACGAGACAATAGTTTATCTTGCTAAAGCATGAAGCATTCCACTAAGGCTCTTTGTTGGACATACAATAAGAGTTTCAATTTGCACAAAGCAGTAGCACCTTGATAAATCAGAGAGCCTAGGGGAAAACAAAAGGTAGCAACAAATCTACACTCATTTCAGATCCAGCAATAATACAGACCTTCCATCCAGATGAGAGGGGACATTATTATATAATAATCATAGAAACACTGGTCAAACAAAATAAATGGATCAGCATGTTGTTACTAGTCCGTCCTCCTCGGAACCACTTTCACCTTATTCACGGCAACACCTTTCTAGGAAATCAAAAGACAAATTGAGCAAACATAGTTTAGGGACACCCAAAAAACTCTCCAGTGTGATCATCCCCGGAAGGACAGAGACATAGAAACGCAATGACAACCATTTACCGAGCAAGATTAGCACCATAGAACAAGCAATAGCACTTCACGAGTGGTGTCATAATAATCCACTAAAGCCGCAAATGAAACAAAAAACATGGACTATCATGTAATCTTTAAATTTTGTAACTAGACAACGACACTGAGGTTATCATTCCCGAGTTCCTTTTGAGGACTCTATTTAAGATTTCCAGTTCACGAATGATGCTGCAATTGAGGTATCTTACATGTAGCAGAATGACAACTGGATTATTGTGTAGCACTAACATGAAGAGTACATCGATAATCAGTGTATGATCATATAAGAAGGCAACTTGAACGAGTCTTTGATCAAGAAATCTTACTTTCTCAAACAGCAAGGTCACGGCAAGCATATTAAGAATCAGATTGCATAACTAGGGCAACTAGAATAAGTAACTGATCATCTCACTATTATGCAGAACCAGAACTAACTTCCAGATAATCATCTCACTATATGACTCCATATAGTATTTTATGGTTATGAAACATGGTAACAACTGAAGTAGAACAGAAGGGCACCGGAATGAGTAATTAATCATCTTATGATAAGCATAATAGGATTCAACCTTCAGTTAAGCATGAACTGATATAGAAAATGTATTTTGTGTCCATTTATATAGTACTCATTCTCAAGTTCCCTTCTAGGACTCCATATATTACTTTCTGTTTGCATAACATGATCCAACAGAAGTAGAGCAGAAGGGCAACCGGAATGAGTAATTAATCATCTTATGATAGGAAAAATCGAACTCAACCTTCATATACAAATTGAACTGATATGAAAAAGTATTTTATGGGTCGATTTATATAGTACTCATTATAAAGTTCCCTTCTAGGACTCCATATATTACTTTATCTTTGCAGAACATGGTCACAACTGAGTAGAGCAGAAGGGCAACTGAAATGAGTACCAATCACTTATTATAAGGCAACACCAACTCAAACTTCATATAAGCATTGAACCGACATGCAAGGTATTTTTCTGCGTTCATCTATGATACAGTACTCATTATAAAGTTCCCTTCTAGGACTCCATATATTACTTTCAATTTGCAGAACATGGCCACTACTGAAGTGGAGCAGAAGGGCAACTGAAATGAGTACTGATCAGTTATTGTAAGGCAACACCAACTCAACTTTCTTATAAGCATTGAACCGACACATACAAGGTATTTTCAGGGTCCATCTATGATGTGCTACTCACTCTCAAGTTCCCTTCTAGCACTCCATACCGTACTTTCCATTTACAGAACAAGGTCACAAATGAAGTGGAGCAGAAGGGCAACTGCAATGAGTAGTAATCAGTTGTTATAAGGCACCAACTCAAATTTCATATAAGCTTGAACCAGCACAGACAAGGTATTTTTTTATTTCATCCATGATGTACCACTCATGCTGAAACTCCCTTCTAGGACCATATCTTATTTTCTGTTCACTGAACATGAGCACAAGTGAAGTGGAGCAGATGGGCAAATGAAATAAGAATGAATAACTTATTATAAGCAACACTAACTCAGCTTTCAGATAAGCATCGAATCAACACGAACGAGGTAATAGTCATTCTCAAGTTCCCTTCTAGGACTCCACAAAGGAATTTTTTATTACGAAACACTATAATGATGGGCCTAAAGTGGAGCAAAAGCGCAGTTGGAGCGAGTAAATCATCATCTTAATCCAAGGCAAAATCTTACCAACTTCAGATAAGCATTGAAGACATGGACCACGTATATATTTAGGAAGCAATTAAGCAAATAATATTTAAAGACATCCGTGATTTGATCAAGATCAGTCCGGAAGGACAGGGCAATAGGAAGGCAAGATCAAGCATCATAGAACCAAGTCACAACACGTCAGGAATGATCTTAATCCATTAAAAGCCTCAATTGAAACAAACGAGCTACACAATCATAGATAATAATCATGTAATCCTTGGATTTGCTACTCACTCATTCAAATTCTTAACATAGAAAAGAAGGGACACGCAGAACAATACCAAGAGAAAGGCTGCTGCTCCAGCCCGGATCACACCATATTTTTGGAAACAGGCAAACCCCAACCTGCAACGGAGCGACGATGACCATCGAGTACCAAAAAAAACCCGACCCGCGCTAATCATATCGAAACCCTAGCGAAGTTCCACAGGCTTGGGGTCGAACAGATATACCGTTTCTCGGCTGCCAACATTCGACAGAATAAGAAGAAAATAATATTGCGATCCTGGATTTTCCTGAGCGCCACCAAAGAAATCAGGAGAGGGAAGTACCATATGAAAAAATTCTGACAGACCGAAAGCAAGTAGACATTACGAACGGAACGCGCTGAACAACCGATCGAACCCTATTCTCTACTCCGCCGCCTCTAGACCAGCCCTCTCAGAACTCCAATCCAGATTCCAGAGTATAGTGACCGTTGCAGAAGCGCGGGCAACGGTTCTATTAATAGTAGCAGAGTTACCGCCTCATGAGATGATCAACGCGGATAAAATACGCGGAGTCAGGTGGAAATGACTACCATGCCCTCCACCTATTTCGTGGCCTGCAAATAATGAGCAGTAATTTCACCAAAATGCCCTTACTTTTAGGTTGCGAAATGTTGACTTTTTGCGTGGAGAGAAACCACATAATTGGTGGGCTATTGGAGTTTACATTTGGGCCCAAACCAACTAATTAATTACAGTATTTTGCTGTGACAAATTTCATCATTTTTTATAATAATAATAATAATAATAAAATTCTATCTGGAGTAGCTTACCTGCTGTCTGCTGTAACATATTTTTTGGTCCTTATCGAGTTGGGCTGGGCCCCAGCCCAAACTAGCTCTTTTTGCTAGCTATCTCACTTCCGTCTCTCGTCTTCTCCCGACTGTTAATAGAGTTCGGAAATCGGAAATCGGAAATCGGAAATCGGAACTCTCAAACGCCTTCCCTCTTCTTCCCCAAAACTCTGTTCTGTTCTGTCTCTGCTTCCGCCACTGTTGCTACGGCTGCACGTATTGCGTCTCAACCGCCCGACTCAACCCAATCCCAGCGGCTCTCCTTCCCTATTGTTTCCCACCCTTCCCCCCCCCCCCCTCTCTCTCTCTCTCTCTCTCTCTCTCTCTCTCCCTCCGACCTACATTCTCTGGTTTTCAGGTCACTCACTCTTCTTCCCTTTTCTTACTTCAAAATTTAATTATGTTTGGTGGCATTTGCTAACATTAATTGAGCTGGGGATTCATGAATTCAATTGGGTAGATTCCCAATTTGTTCCCCTCAGTGATCATGAATTGCCGCTGGTGGATTTCGTTCTTTGCAGAAAGAAAGATGTTTTCCTTTCTGTTTTCCCCAAACTGAACTTTTATTCTTGACATGGCGTTTGTATTGCGTGTATAGCAATGTTGAACCAAAGGGAGGGCTTTGAAACCAATATGCTTGGTATGCATTGCATTAGCTATCAACTTGATCGGAGGAGTTGAATGCTTTTGTATCTGCTCAATACTCAAAGATCGTGAATTTCTGTTAAGTATGCATTTTGCTAGTCAAGGTTTGGCAGGGTGGAAGCCTGGAAGGGGTTACCCTTTACTAGCTAGCTAGCTAGCTAGGTCAACACTTGTTTTGTTTGTGTTTGTGCAAATTCAGGTTGCTACTCTTGCAACTTAAGACTAGAGTTATCGATTTCTGTATTGGCATTGTTACCTGCCCCCAAATGTTGAAATCCTGTCGGAAGTCGAAATGCTAGTGGCTGATTCGTATTGTAGCATGACCATGTTGGTTCTTTGTGCTGAGGCACTGGTTGATTCACCTATTATTGCTGCTGCTACTACTGCTTAAACTCCAGTTCTCTGCTGAGGAATCCTCGAATTCTTCTCCTCCTGCAGACAGCAAAGCTGAAGATCAAAATCTTTCCCGAACAAAAATGATGTCCAAACAAGCAATCTAGGACTAAAGTTACGCACCTAAGGACTTGATGCTGAAGTAACTTCAGGCCGTTTTGTTTGTTATCATATTTGCAGAAGGCTGGTCCAAATGGGCATATCGTGAAAAATTAATAGCAACTGGAGTGGACATGTTCTGCATTCAAATCCGTATACATAAGGGACATGTCAATATTCAGTCTTCAGATAAACCAAGTTCTAACAAGATCCCTGAATCAAACTGTCAATATTCAGTGCTTCATCCTTCCAGAACGACTGAACAAGGCATGATCCTTCGATCGTGGCCTTTGCTATTAGATGTTGTTTTTGGTGGTTCCTCCAAGCTGTTTAGTTATATGCATTTGGCTTTGGCTTTGGCTTTATGGCATCTAATCAAAAGAGTCTAGACCATAGCACAGTACTCAACCAAATGAAGTTACCTTGCTGGTTTTTCTGTAGACTTGAACATTTCCAAATTCTAAACATCGATATTTTAAATATAAACAAAAAAAATTCTGTCAATACTCCCCTGTACCAATTATATATTTCCAAGGCAGCCATGCATATATAATCCATGACAACGAGTAAAAGAAGATATGTATAGATAATACAAGACCATTCCATCACAATTCACAGGAACTATGGATTTGTGTGCTTCCAAGACTTAATCGGAACTATATACTCGATAAGAAAGTAGGCAGTAGCCAGAGATACTTTACAGAAGACATGCATAACAATCCAAGACCATTCAATCACAAATCATAAAATTAATCACAATCCACAGGAACTATGCATTGTGTGCTTCTAACACTCAATCGGAACTATATACCAGATAAGAAAGTAGGCAGTAGGCACTAGCCAGGGATACTTTACAGAAGACATGCATGATAATCCAAGACCATTCAATCAAAAATCGTAGGAACTATGCATTCGTATGCTAGCCTCATGATTTCTTGTTCTTTGTGACCAGTTAGAATCTATTTTCAGAACAATGAACATCAAGAACTACTGTTGAGAGAACTTGAATCCATTTAATAGGGGAGCAGAAGGGGAACAAGCATTTGCAGATAGACTGGGCACAATAATGATGTAAGCAGACTTAGCAATATGGATGCACCATATTTAGACTTCACAAGGCAGGATATAATACAACTTTGCAATAAACATCTTACTACCTCAAACAGTAAGGTTCAACGTATCAATGAAGTTTACCTCCCATCATGTATATATTTCCATTTCTGAACATGAATGTTTAAAATTTCAAACACTGATATTTAAAAGCCAAATGAGATCCTTCATGTCTATTTTTTCTTCCACCATGTACATATTTCAAAGGCCAACCCAACTTCCTACCTAAAAGAATATGACAGGTTCTTGCTCCCATTACAATTTTGCTAGTAGACCGAGTAACTAGAGTATTGTACCTTTAGCAGCAACAACATAAAGTTTTCTTTGAATACAGAGAGTCCAAAAACTTTAGATCTGCCACACAATTCCACAAATTATATTTATCCTTTCGTCGATCAATGATAATGTCACTTGACAGAACAAAGTAATATTACTTCAGAACCACAAAGGGAGAACATAAAAGATTTTCTCCTTTTTGCTGCTAATTCCTAGTTCACGACTTTCTTTTAAGGAAGCTAACCTCGAAACTGCATGGTAGGGAAAGGAAGTCGTTCAAGAAGTCATCGTGTTACTTGGAGATCATTCGTGTTTCTTCCGCCACCAGACAGTCACTAGAATGAATAACTGATCAAAATCGGACCTGACTTTCATATAGGCATTTAACTGACATGGCCAATGTATTTTCTTGATTTTATCTATGGTGCAATTCATTCTCGAGTTCCCCTCTAGAACTATATAAAGTACTTCCTGCTAGCAAGATACTGTCACGACTAATGAATCTGAAGTGGAGTAGGAAGGCAACTGGAATGAGTAACTAATCATCATCATCATCTTATTAAAAGGGTTTCTTGGAGCTATTTGTTGGACACATTGAAAGGGTTTCAACTTGCAGAAAACAGTAGTACCTTAATAAACCAGAGGAACTCAGGGGAAACCGAAAGGTAACGACAAATTGAAAATCATATCAGATCAAGATCAAGCAACAACACAGACTTTCCAGTCAGATGAAACAAAAACCATGAACTATCATGTAATCTTTGGATTTTGTAGCGAGACACTGACACTGAAGATATCTTCCTAAGTTCACGAAAAGCTGACATGGAACAGAAGGGCAACTAGATGTTTCGATAATGTTACAAACAACCAGAGCATTCGAATCTTTTTCTCAAGTTCTCTTCACGAATTCATAAAAAAACGTTAATGCATCACAATTGATGAACGTTAAGGGGGAGCTGAAGGGCAACTTTAATGAGTACATCTGTACATGATGACTCAATAATTAGGCAAAACTGGACGGAACTTTCAGATCAACAGTGAACCAACAGGTATAGCATATTTTTTTAGGTGTACGGACTTCCTAGAGAAGTAACTATATATTAGTATTAATTTTAAAAGTCTCACCTAAGACTGATTCCACACAAGACTTTCAGCTTGCAGAATGTTATCGTGATTGAAGGGAGCAAAAGGCAACTTGAATCAGCCAATGATCATCTCAATAAGTGGCAACTTGAATCAGTCGATGATCATGAAATCTTACTTTCTCAAACAGTAAGGGCGCGCCAAGAATATTAAGAGTTGACAATTGCATAACTAGGGCAACTAGAATGAGTAACTGATCATTTCACTATAGTAAGAACCAGAAGAAACTTTAAGATAACCATTTAACTGAATGACTATGATGTACTGCTCACTGCAAGTCCCCTCCTACTGCTCCATGAGTAATTAATCATCAATGGTATTTTCTGGGTCTATCTATCTAGTACTCATTCTCAAGTTCCATTCTAGGACTCCCTATTGTACTTTCTGTTTACAGATCACATTCACAACTGAACTGGAGCAGAAAGGCAACTGATATGAGTACTAATCACTTATTATAAGGCAACACCAACTCGACTTTCAGATAAGCAATGAACGTGGATTCATCAATGATGTAGTACTCATTCTCAAGTTCCCTTCTAGGACTCCATATCAAACTTTTCATTTATAGAACATTGTCACAACTGAAGTAGAGCAGAAGGGCAACTGAAATGAGTACTAATCACTTATTATAAGGCAGCACCAACTCGACTTTCAGATAAGCAATGAACTTGGATTCATCAATGATGTAGTACTCATTCTCAAGTTCCCTTCTAGGACTCCATATCAAACTTTTCATTTATAGAACATGGTCACAACTGAAGTAGAGCAGAAGGGCAACTAAAATGAGTACTAATCACTTATTATAAGGCAGCACCAACTCAACTTTCATATAAGCATTGAACGGACATAGACAATATGTTTTTTCTGGATTCATGTACTCATTCTCAAGTTCCCTTCTAGGAATCCATATACTATTTTCTGTTCAGAACAGGGGGCAACTGAAGTGGAGCAGAAGGGCAACTAGAATAAGGCAATCACTTATTATAAGCAATATCAAATCAGCTTTCAGATAAGCATTGAACCGACAGTGACCAGATATTGATGGGTTTATCTATGATGTAGTAATCATTTTCAAGTTTGCTTCTAGAACTCCACAAAGGAATTCCCATTTATGAAACACTATCGTGACTGATGAACCTGAAGTGGGACAAAAGGGCAACAGGAGCGAGTAACTAATCATCTTAATCCAAGGCAAAACCGTACCCAATTTCATACAAGCATCAAAGACAGGCACCATGTATTTTCTAAATCTATCTATCATATAGAAAGGATTGAGCAAACACTGTCTAGCGACACCCACAATTTGATCATGATCAGTCCAGAAGTACAAGGCAGTAACTGAAACAAACGACATGCACATCCATTGAATAAGCAATAAGGGACATCAAGAAAAAGCATCATTGACATTGAATAAGCAATAAGGAGTGACTGAAACAAACGACATGCACATCCATTCAAATTCTTAACATAGAAAAGAAGGGACTCTGAGAACACTACCAGAGAAAGGTTGGTCCAGCCCAGATCGCGTCATATTTCCGGAAACACGCAAAAACCCATCCTGTAACGGAGCGACGACCACGAGTACCAAAAAACCCTAACCCGCGCTAATCATGTCGAAACCCTAACGAAATTCCATGGACTGCGGGTTGAACGGAAAAATCCTTTCTCGGCGGCCGAGATTCGGCAGAATAAGAAGAAAGCATTATCGGGATTTCGAATTTTCCGAAGAGGCACAGAAGGAAATCAGGCGAGGGAATTACCAAACTGAAAATCTCCAACGCGAAGCAAACATTATCAGGAACACGCTTAACGAACGATCGAACCCCTCTTCTCCACTCCACCGCCTCTAGCCGAGCCCTGTCAAAACTCCAATCCAGTTTCCAAAGTACAGTAACCGTTGCAGATGGGCGGGCAACAATGCTATTAATAGTGCAGAGTTACCGCCTCATGAGATGATTAACGCGGGTAAAACGCGGAGTAGAGGAAATTACTATAGTGCCCTTCACTTATCTTCATTACTGCAAACAATGAGCAACACTTTCCCCAAAATGCCCTTATTTTTAGTTTCTAAAATGTTTAATTCTGGCGTGGAGAGAAAGCGTTTAATTGGGCCGTCACCCTTAGACACCTGGTGGGCTACTGGAGTTTACATTTGGGCCCAAACCAATTAATCATCTATTTTTATAATAATAAATAAATATTATATAATTCTATCAAGAGTAGCTTACTGCTGTAACATATATTTTGGTCCTTATCGAGTTGGGCTGGGCGCCTGGGCCCCAGCCCAACCAAGCTGGCTCGCTACCTCACTTCCGTCTCCTCTTCTCTCGGACTGTTAATTCAGTTCGGAACTCTCAAGTTTCAACGCCTTCCCTCTTCTTCCCAAAACTCTGCTCTGTCCTGCTTCAAAGGTTCCGGCCGGCTTGACTTTCAACTTGCCGGCAGCAATGGCATCAACGTCGTCTCCCTGCGTTAAACCCAACACTGTAGCTACGGCTGCACGTATTCCGTCGCAACCGCCGGACTCAACTCAACCTCAGAGGCTCTCCTTCCCTATCGTTTCCCACCCTTCCCTCTCTCTCTCCCTCCGACCTACATTCTCTGGTTTTCAGGTCACCCACTCTCCTTCGCCTTTCTTACTGGAAAAATTCAATTATGCTTGGTGGCATTTGCCAACATTAATTGAGATGGGGATTCATGAATTCAATTGGGTAGATCCCAATTTGTTCCCTCCACTCCCTCAGCGATCATGCTGGTGGATTACGTTCTTTCGAGAAAGAAAGATGTTTACTTTATGTTTTCCCCAAATTAAACTTTTATTCTTGACATGGGTATAAATGATAGCAATGTTGAACCAATGGGAGGGCTTTGAAACGAATATGCTTGATGTACATTACATTAGCTATCAACTTATAGGGAGAAGCTGAATGGTTTTGTATCTGCTATGCTCAAAGATCGTGAATTCCTGTTAAGTTCATTTTGTTAGTCAAGGTTTGGCAGGGTGGAAGCCTGGAAGGGGTTACCATTGCTAGCTAGCTTGTTCAGCATCTGTTACTGTTAGTGCGAGTTCAGGTTGCTACTTTTGCAGCTTAAGACTAGAGTCATGGAAATCTGTATTGGCATTGTTACCTGCCCCCAAATGTTGAAATCCTGTCGCAAGTTGAAATGCTAGCGGGTGGTTCGTATTGTGGGATGACCATGTTTGTTCTTTGTGCAGTGGCCCAGCAAGAAGCTGTCTTCTGTAACAAAAGTGCACGCACAAGCGAACAAGGTATTTGTTGTGAACTTCTTGCTAGATTGTGTATGCTTAATTTAGCTACACCTGAAGCACTGGTTGATTCGCCTATTGCTGCTGCTGCTGCTGCTTAATATCCAGTTATCTGCTGAGGAATCTTCGAATTCTTCTCCTCCGGCAGACAACAAACCTGTAGGTAGAATTCCAGATGCAGCGACGGTGTCAGAGTGCATGGCTCAAGTAGCAGACCTTGTCAAGTAAATCCCTGTCAACTTGCCTGTCTGTTTAATTACAAGTTCCCATTGCACTGCAAGCAATTGCGTAAGTTAATGTGAGGTACAATGTGCAGGCTTGTGGATAAGAGAGATATTGCAGAGCTGAAACTGAAGCAAATGGACTTTGAACTTATCATAAGGAAAAAACAGGTTTTGCCACCTGCTGCTCCTTTCATGATGATGCAATCACCATATCCACAAGCCATGGCACCACCACCACAGCCACAACCAACAGCTTCTCCTGCTCCTGCAGCTCCAGCTTCAGCACCTAGCTTGCCTCCTGCTGCAAAGACTAGCTCGTCTTCTCATCCACCACTGAAGAGTCCAATGGCTGGAACCTTTTATCGCTGTCCAGGCCCAGGCGAACCACCATTTGTGAAGGTAAACACCTGGTATTGGTTACAGCTTATGCTCCGAGACACAGAAACTAGTTTTTGCCAGATCACTTTAGTATAGAAAATTTTGATTGTCTTTTACAGGTAGGAGACAAGGTGCAGAAAGGTCAGGCCCTTTGCATTATCGAGGCCATGAAGTTGATGAATGAAATCGAAGTATGTATTTCCTTTTGTCATGCTACGAATCTCCTTTGGTACAGGAAGTGTATATGTTAATGTTCACATATCTGTCTACTTATTCAATAGGCTGATAAGTCTGGAACAATAGCTGAAATTCTGCTTGAAGATGGGAAACCAGTTAGCATGGACACGGTAAATCACATTACCTTCCTCTTTCTCACCATCAGACAAACTCCAATACCATCTTAACTCAAGTTCTAAATGCTTTTGTTTCCCGGGTCTGTGTTGCAGCCTTTGTTCGTAATTGTACCATGAAGGACAGCGGATGAACTTCTCACCTCTGTCCGCGGCAAGCAGCACTGAAGAAACTTTTGAGAAGTTGAACTTCCCTAGTCATATTCTGAGCTTGCAGCTTGTAGTATAAGCCTGTTTTTTTATCAATGCAGGGGAAACTTGTTTCCTATTGCAATGTACTAGAAGCCTCGGAAGACTTTATTTAAGAACAACAGTTTTTGGAGTGAAATTTTGGTAATTTATCACGTAAAATTACTCACTTTTTTTTTTTCCAGTTGTGAACTAGAGTTCTGAAACAGTTTTTCATGTGTACATAGCTTCTGATTCCCAAATCAGTAGAGACAAATGGATGAAGAACATATCTTAAAATTTGTATCAAATGCCGTTTAAAGTGAGACCTTCAACTGATGCTGTTGGTGAAAGCACTATTGAATATGTTGCATCAAGATCCTCTCTTTTTTTATGTTCCTTACTTCGCTTCAGTTAGTTTATTTTATTTTGTGGCGAGAACTAGGAAGCAATGAAAGTCTTTTTACTATCCTTTTGTCATCCTCTTAAGATTAAGTAGAAGACTAGTAAGAGAAACGGAATCACCAAAGAAATATTTGAGGGCAAGGAGAGGAAAGCAAGAGGTCGGCTAGAAAATGGGAAAAAATCCAAAAGTACCACTGTTTAAAAAAAAAATTCCAAAAATACCACCCAATCCCAAAAAATTCCAAAAATACCACCCTTTTTCAAAAACCGCCACCCCACCCAGCGGTTTGGTCGAAAACCGCTTGTCGGGGGCGCGGTTTTGGACCAAACCGCGGGCCTAGGGGGCGGTTATAAAACAAAAAAAAAATTTGGACCAAAACCGCTGGGAGGGGTGGCGGTTTGGCCCAAAACCGCCACCCCAACCAGCGGTTTGGTCCAAAAGTTCGGTCGAAACTTCAAACGAACGTAACTTTGCACTCGGGTATCCGATTGTAGCGATATTTTTTTTCATTTCGCATAACTTTTCAAGATCTACAACTTTTACTAGGATGAAATTTTCAAAACAGGAACTATTTGTGGATATACGGGACCTTGAGAATAACTCTACCTTTACTTTTCAGAAATCCATGTACATTTTGAAATTATGATTATATTAAAAGTTGTAGATCTTGAAAAGTTATGCGGAATAAAAAAAAATTCATGACATTCGGATTTTGGAGCACAAAGTTATGGCCGCCCAAAGTTTGACGAAATAAAAAAAGGTCGTTCGGGGTGGCAAATGACGTTTTTACGAGACGAAGACGGAACTCGACTGTTTAAGACTTGCAAGATCTCAAAAAGTTATTCGGATTCAAAAAATGGAGGCCGCAAACTTTTTGAGATCTTGCAAGCCGCAAACCGCCGGGTCTCGCCTTTCGTCAAACTTTGGGCGGCCATAACTTTGTGCTCCAAACTCTGAATGTTATGAACTTTTTTTTGATTCCGCATAACTTTTCAAGATCTATAACTTTTAATATAATCATAATTTCAAAATATACATGGATTTCTGAAAAGTAAAGGTAAAGTTATTCTCAAGGTCCCGTATATCCACAAATAGTTCCTGTTTTGAAAATTTCATCCTAGTAAAAGTTGTAGATCTTGAAAAGTTATGCGAAATGAAAAAAAAATCACTACGATCGGATACCCGAGTGCAAAGTTACGTTCGTTTGAAGTTTCGACCGAACTTTTGGACCAAACCGCTGGTTGGGGTGGCGGTTTTGGGCCAAACCGCCGCCCCACCCAGCGGTTTTGGTCCAATTTTTTTTTTTTTTATAACCGCCCCCTAGGCCCGCGGTTTGGTCCAAAACCGCGCCCCCGACAAGCGGTTTTCGACCAAACCGCTGGGTGGGGTGGCGGTTTTTGAAAAAGGGTGGTATTTTTGGAATTTTTTGGGGTTGAGTGGTATTTTTGGAATTTTTTTTTTAAACAGTGGTACTTTTGAATTTTTTCCAGAAAATGTGGGGCGTTGGAGAGAAATGCTGGAAGCCAGGAAGCTCTAATTGTGTGGGTGGGGAAGGTGTTAAGTGAAGTTGGCCGTTGTTGGTAGTTAAGACTTTGAGAGTTGAGACCCAAAAACAGGGCAACGTGAGAGACTTGTGAAACGAGGCGAATAATTAATTCCCGCAATTCAATTCATCAATTCGCCACTTTTCTTCCTTCTTTGTCTCTCTCTCTCTCTCTCTCTCTCTCTTTCTGGTTACTACTGCTACATTGATAGTATCGAAACTCTGCCTTTGAAAAACACTCCCAGACCCACGACGAGACGACACAGCTCTGCTCCATCCAAACAAAGACAAAACCAAAAACTTTACTTCATCCCATTGTCCGTCTGTCCAAGAGAACCATAACCCAGTTGGCGTTTCCTCTCTCTCTCGCCAACTTCGCCGCTCAATTCCTCCTTCGATCTCACCGCCGCATTTCCCTTACAAAACCCTTCCATTTCTTCTGAACTCCCTTCTCTCTATCTCTGTAATCTCAACTTGGCCGGACTGTTAATTCAGTTCGGATCTCGGCGGCTTCTTCATCCTCTGTTTGCTTGAAGGGAACTTCTCTGCAACAGCTCCCATGGCGTCGATCTCCGTTCCTTGCCCCAAAACCACCGTTGCTGCTTCTGGGTTTCCCTCATCTCAAGCTGCTCCCTTGGAATCCAACAGGATTGCCTTCCCTCGTGCTTCCAAACCAGCTTCTTCTCTCTCTCTTGGATCCACATTCTCTGCTTTTCAGGTCATTTTCCCTTCCCCATCTTCCCATTTTTATTTTTCCAATTCCTATCTTATCACCATTTACATACTGTTGCTGTAGCGTAGCTCCATTTCCCTTCTCCCCTCTTCCTTTTCCTTAATTCCACCGTTGCAGTTTTTGTGTCGGTGTTATTTGGCCTATGTGAGAGAATTTTCGTTCTTAATCCAATTTGCTGCATGTACTTCTAGTCTTTTTGAATTGGATGGTTTTGTTGAGCTTTACTCTAAACTCTCTTTGATGGTTGATTGTTGTTAGTCCACGGTTTGAATTTCAATCCGAGTTGGGAGGGATTGATTGATTGTTTTTTTGTTGTTGTCGTGTTCCAGTTGTCGGATATAATGAAGATTGAACTGATTTGGATACCTTAAGCTAGCTTCTAGGTTCAGCTTTGATCTTGATGGGAGAGGTTTGGCCGTGTTTGACAGGTGGGGGTGTTTTCAAGGGGAGGGCTATATGCCTCTATGGCTATCAGCTAGTTCTCAGTTTATGGATAGAAACTTGAAAGAATTGAGTTACTTGGAAGAAATTGCTATTTTCTCTGATAACTACTAGTTGAAGAATTTGCTTGCCTCTATGAAGCTCCTTTGAACCCATCAGAGTTCCCTGCTTACTGTTCTATAGCTTAAAGCATCTGAATTTAGTTCTGGAGCTTGTTAGAGAATGTTTTGTTATCATTAGAATGCTGTTTCTCCAGTTTGTTGTTCACTGACATGATGTGAATGGTGCTTCTTTATGTGCAGAGGCCTAGCCGGAGGGAATCTTTGGTATCACAGGTGCAAGCTAAAGTAAGCCTGTTTGTTGCTAGTACATTCCTAGGAGTTGCAGTAGATAGCTTCCAATAAGCCATTCATCATCTGCTGCTTTTAAATTCCAGGTGACTGCCAAGGAATCTTTGAACCATACACCTTTGGTGGACACCAAATCCGATGTTACCGCCGAATCCAACGGGAAAGCAGAGACTACAGAACCCAGAATTCCAGATGTGGCATCGATTTCAGAATTCATGACCCAAGTGTCACACTTGGTCAAGTAAGTAGAGTCCCATGCAACTTGGTGGAAGGAAAGTTGCTTCCTTCTATGTTTGCTGGAACTAATGGCCCTTCTTAATGTGCAGACTTGTGGATTCGAGAGACATTGTGGAGTTGAAACTGAAGCAATTGGACTGCGAGATAGAGATAAGGAAAAAGGAGGCTCTCCCACAGCCGCCAGCTCCTGCTGCTTCTCCTTTCATGATGATGCAGCCTCCCTATCCACAGGCCATGCCACCACAACCAGCAGCTGCTCCCGCAGCTCCTGCTGCAGCTTCTGCATCATCAGTACCTGCCTTGCCTCCTCCAGCTGCAAAGCCTGCTTCATCTCATCATCAATTGAAGTGTCCTATGGCTGGCACCTTTTACCGGTCTCCAGCCCCAGGTGAACCGGCATTTGTCAAGGTAAATTAGTTATCTTTGGCTGGACTCTTTGAAGTTTGTGTTGTAATGAGGGTTTTTTCTTAACCATCAATGTGCGTTTTACATAGGTCGGAGATAAGGTACAGAAAGGACAGGTTCTTTGCATCATTGAGGCCATGAAGCTGATGAATGAAATCGAGGTATGCTTGTCCTTCTCGTCAATCATTAGAGTTCATGGCACCTGGGAAATCCTCCTTTCATAACACTGATCGTTCCAATTTTTCCCTCGCTTCACAGGCTGATCAGTCTGGAACCATAACTGAAATATTGGCAGAGGATGGGAAACCAGTTAGTGTTGACCTGGTAATCACACACCCTCTCTTCTTCTTTCTCGGTAGTATTTGCCCTTCTAAGGTCAGAATCTAAAGCCTCTCGTTGGTCGAATTATGTTTGCAGCCTTTGTTCGCGATTGCTCCATGAGCAACACCGGAAAGAACGTCCAGCTTGGCCTGCAGTAGACATGCGAGGCAGCCACTGTCGTCCCAGAACTAGAAAAGCTTTTAAAAAAGAACACCATCTTGTTTGAAGCTTGAGAATTGTAATGTGAAATAGAATAATCGAAACCTCATTTCGGGTTTTTCTTTTAATATGATAAGCCGCTGTTTCTCTACACTTTGAAAACTGATTTTTAGCTGGTAATGTAGCATAAGCCTCACAAAAGGGATTTAGTTTAAGTGCATTGTGCAAGGTGTTTGTTCGTTTCTCCTGTGATTTTTTTTTGTGTAATATGTGGACAAGTTTTGAAGTCGTGAAAAACAATAGCACTGCCAACCCGTTTTAATGTTGTATCCAGTTTGACCTGCTAATTTCTTATGTACACCTTATCCAGTTCAAATAATACAATTGTTCTTGCAACAAGTTCAATATTCAACTCCAACAACAATACAGTCGAATCAAGTAACAGAAACACAACGGGTGGTTCGACTGCTCCCACGCTCTTTCAATGCACATTCTCCTACGAGGCGTTTTATCTATCGTCTGTGAATTTATCTCTTTCCGGTTTCTCGGTTTGGCTCCATGAATTGCTGCAAAATCTCTTGCTATCTGGGAGAAGATTATTGCATTCTCATATACCAGCAACCAATACCAGTAATCAAATCCTTGACTTTCATTCCGAGAAAAGAATCGGCAGTTAAAACTTTTCTGGACAAAAAATTACAAGATGGAAACAGCAGCAGAAAGCTACAGCTACAAGTTACAAACTACTCTGAAGAAGAAACAATCTTCATGTTTCTTCATGCTTTCTAAGCGTTCCCACCTAAAAATCCCTATTCCTTTCTCTTCTCCTGTCATTCTACAATAAAGATCTGTCCCACCTATAGCTCTATTACCTGTCGCCAACAAAACTTCATGTACACTGGTTAGCATATATGTGCATATGCTATTTCGTCGTATTTACAATACCTATTCATCGTAGTCATCGCTGTCTGCCTGCTGATCTGTTCCCTCTCCTGCTGCTACCAGTTAACCTCCTGCCTCCACCCATCCAGTCTCCATCGTCGTCATCATCGTCGTCATCCATGTCATCGGCCAGAGTACGGCCAGTTCTCTTCCTGGGAGTTGTCCGCTTCCTGACCGCACTGCCACCCGTCAGGTTTGCATCATCATACATGTCTTCGGCTGCTGGGGCACCTCGTCCGGGTTTCTTCCTGGGAGTGGGGCGCTTCCTATTGATGTTTGCTGTGTAAGTTGCATAATCCACTGTGTCTTCCTTCAGCGCATTTTTTAAGTCCTGTTTTTGACAAAGTGAGCAAGCATTAAAAAGAGCCCACTTCCCATTACATAAACGGTAGACAGAGAAACTTCCCAACACAAGAGCGGGGAACAAATTCTGTAATCTGTAAGTCTACTTTTGGCGTACCTGATATCGCTGTACCAGATCCTGATACGTTGTGGGCATGCTAGTCCGGATATCACTTACGTCAAAAGGAATAGTCTGCCTGGATAGATTCTCTCCAGGTTTTGGGGGTTCGTTCGGTAAAAAGGCCTAGTTCAATAAACATAATACATCTATCATAACTAGCAAACTGTTAATGATGATAACAAATGAAAAAACATTTACCTGACAACGGGAGTCATTCAGGCCATACACAATCTTTAGGTGTCTCTTCAGCTTCAGAAGAAGCTGCAAAGCAGTGGCAGCGAGACAATGGACCTGTTTCAACCACAGGAACGGAGATTCAGAAAGGCAAGCTCTTCCTATCTAACCTCAAATTATTTCTTTCCAAACACGCAGACACATGGACATGGTTATTGTACACTGGTGATTACCTGGATTCTGTTTATATCATCCTGGGAGAGGCTGCAAGGTTCAACTATGTTCATATGGCTTGTCGTATTTGGATCACTTGAAGTGGAGACTGAATGGCCAGGTGGCTCGTCTTTAAACGTTCCATTCAAATCGAAATTTCTCAAAGGACTGGACTGTGCTCGATCAACTGGCTCTTCATCCTTAGCCATGTCATTCAAGTCCATTGAGCCCACTTGTCGGACACTGAGCTGAGTTGCTTCTTCCTGAAGTAACCCACTCTGATGGTGAGCTTTCCGTGCAGCTCTTTCTGCCAGATGCAATACTAGCCCCTTCATATTTGCCTCAAGTGCCCCAACCCTAACTTGGATCACCCGATTTATAGAATAAATGAGATACAGTGGTTCATCTGGAACAGTGAATGGCAGTAGAGCAAGCACTTCAGTACAGTGCCTGTGAAAAAGGAAACCAAAATTATTAACATTGTTAAAGAGTTGCAGACCAAATGCCAAATGACCGGAAACTCTGAAAGCACTTACAGTAGAAAGCCAATCACTGAATCACTACGGACTGGATTATCAAATTTGCGCACAATTGAAGACATGAATTTATTTCTCGAGACACGGTTCCCACGAATAAGCTTGTAGATCCGAGAAACTCCGAGCCTAGCCTGAGTCAGAGCACCAGTTCCATACTTTCCTTTGGAATTCCCAGCTGACTTAGGTGGGAGCCTTTGGTTTGGTTTTTCATTAGAGGTACTAGAAAGAGCATGCATGAATGTATATGATAGCTGAAGACCATCGCCTAATCGACTCTCAAAGAAGGCTGGGTACCTGAAAAAGTGATACCCTGATTTTGAGTTGCTTATGTAAAATATAAGACGAATATATTGCAAAAACAGGAGAAAAAGAGTCCGAACACCATACTTCTCATTCATATTCATCAATAGATGATGTGCCAACTTCGAGTTTGACTCTAACGGATCGGATTCAAGTGCTATGAGGTAGGGAACACAAGTAATAGGGTGAACTAGACCTTGCCTGAGCACCACCTCGACAATCTGCATGGATAACAAAATCAAATAAGTGAAACTCAAGCATCCAAGTGCAGCAAAGTTACAGTGCATGAGATCCTACTCCTATTTACTAAACTTTAGCTTCCTGGCTTTGTCCCTTTATTTTACATGATGAAACCAGTTCTTGTACTAGCACGGGAACTTAATATAAGACCGATTTTCCCACCTTCAGTGCAGTCTGGCGAACTTCCTCATTCAAATCTAAGCTCCTTCCCAAAATGTGATCCCAATATAACTGGATAATCCCACCACAGATGTTGGTATCCCCAGCACCTGCAGCAACAGGTACCACCCTTTGACCAGCTCCAACCGAACTTTGAGCATCGTTACTGGCTTTATCTGTTTCTAATTGGCTTTCGGCATCCAGAAGATACTCATACAGATTTTGCAGAGCTTGCATCTGGTAAATGTAACATTTCAGTTTCTAGTAGAAAAGGAACCACATGAAAGAGGGCATATATTACTACCTTCAGGCGAACATGAGAACTCGATGACAAAGTTGCTCCCAATATTTTCCCAATGTCCTTCTCCAGCATGTATTCAGGTCTAGCAATTAGGATAAATCCTAAAGCCTACATGAACAATGCAGATATAGGTGAAGAGCCTTAAATATTAAGCTGTTTCAGAGAAGTGGGAGCACAAGGCATACCTGCAAAGATCTGACTTTCACACTGAAGTCGTCCATTATGAGGTAGTTCTTGAACAAGCTGATACTACTTCCAACATCAATGTTTTTGCTACTTGACCCACTAATCAATGGATTTCCATATCGAATAAGCAACCCAAGGCAGAATAGAGAACGCCCTATCAACTGTCACTTGCAGAAAAAGATGAGGTTAATTCATTTTGTAGCACAGCACATTCGAAGCATGTACACAATGTAATGGATGTTTCCTAATTAGGTGTTAGGAAACACAGCATTAGTAAATGTAAGCCCCCATCGACAAGGAACAGAAAGCTTAAACATTGGACTATCATGCTTAAGAAGTTAATAAGCACCAAACTATGCTAAATCCACCAACCTGTTTGTTCTCAATTGTTTGAGCATCAAGGCGCCTGAAGAAAACCTGTATGAGGAATTCAATAACACTAGCCCCTTTTCCAGAAACCTTACTCAACGTACACAGACACCTGCAAGTAGGGAAGCATTTAACTATCTACATCTAAAATTTAAGAAATGGATGATGCAGATTTGGAATGCAAAGTAGAAACACTCAACAGTGGTGATCTGCAAAGTCAATGTCAAGAAGAAATGCTTAGCCTACAGGATTAAAAATTTTGGGCTCAAAGCAATGAACTTATTAATTTAAAGTTTCTACACATACAAACGTGGTCTACAGTGTAATAATACACAATTTTTCAAAGGGCTTATGAAGCTTCAATTGGAAGCATATTTTTGCATAGTGAAGATGTAAATAGTATCCATAATATTGCTGTAAATAGAAAACTAGATTTAACTAGCTGCAAAAAATGACAACAGGAGATAAATTCCTGAAAATGTAGAAGTCCCTCAAAGATTAATTAAAGGAGACCAGCTGCTTGCAAAATGTAAATACCATCTTTTATCATCCATATTGACAGCCAAATCCATTCACAATGCATGTAAAGGTCAGCACACAGCAAATGAAATCAAACAATAAATGTTCATAACTATACACCATCAAAGGTTGATAAAAAAATGAATGTGTCCATTACGAGAAGAAACCGAGTAGATGAAATTACTTGATGCAAGCATGCACCACTGTCAAAAATGAGTGCCGCCCGATCATTTGTTTCAAGTCTTGCTCGAGTTCTTCAACAATACTTGATGTCAACTTCCTTATCAAGGGAAGTACAGAATCAATTATGAATATTATACTCTCCAGAAACTGCGCAACAACTCGGTTATCAACCTGGACAGAAACAGAAGCCATATCAGCTGAAGCATTAGCCCAATGGTTGGAGGCACTGAGCTAGTTATTGCAGTAACTTAATCTCAAATCCAGTTCTGCTTTGTTTCCATCTCTAATATCCAAGCACTAAATATTATTCTGTGGCTTGATGCCAAATTAGCAGCTTAAATGTCCATAATCAGCTTGGTTCTACACTTTTAACCCCCAAATCTGCCATGAAATCAAGTAGCAGAGTTTTCCCTACTTGAGCATATCTATCTTTGCCAATGCACTAGGAAAACCCAAAGTTTAACCAACCACTAGGTTGAGCCCTTGATTAGCAAAGATGTAAATAATTACTCTTGTCTGATCCTTAACCTTGAAAGGTGAATGTTCATACATGATCTACAAAGTTGCCAACCCAGTTGACCCAAGTACCTACCACCCTCAGATTGACAAACCAGGTACAGCAGCCCCCATATGTCATATACCAATCTCAAGCAGACAATTAAACTAATATACAAGTACATTTTATCACCCATATTGCTGAAAGACGAAATGCAGTAGCAAATGATAATAAATAATAATACAACCTGAGTCTTAAGATAAGGCTGCAGCGTGACAACAAATTGAGATGGGTCAGAAGATGGCACACAAAGGGTTGGATCCACCACACAAAATGAATGTAAGGCCAGCACGTATGGCAGAGTTTGCACCTCCTCTTCAGTGTTATTCATTTCCTCCACCTGAAAGTATTTAGAATAGTATTCATATATGAAATAATTCAGCATATGCATATAAAGCCAATGCTGATACCTGCAGTATCCTTTCAAGTATGCACTTGCACATTAGCTCACATCGCTTGCGCACAGATGCAAGCGACATAGGATTGATCCCAACAGCTTTAGCAGACTGGGGGAAAAAATCAAGGGCTAGGTTGCGCTTAACAACAGTGACAAGGAGGTGATTATTTGCCATCCTCCGCAGCATTTCAACAATCTGATCAGTCTTCTTAGCCACCTCCAAAGGTACAGAACTACCATCCCCAGAAAACGTTGTCTGCACACCAGAAGGTTCCTCAAACCATAACTCGAAAAATGTCTTGCAGACGAGATCCTGAGTGCAAAGAAGAATTACAAATAAGCTACAGCAGTCAGGTATTATAGATTTTTTCCTACAACAGAAACATATTTATGAACCCAGAGATAAAAAAAAAACCAAACAAATTTAATGCTGTTGGAGATAATAGAAGTGTATACCAAAAATTTCCATGATAATTTAACAAATTCCATTTCCATCTAAGTTACCTGAATACTTGATTCGTCGTCACTAACACGAGAAATTATCTCAATGCAAGCAGTCGTAAATTGAGTGAAGTTGGTGTTTGAAGTGCACATATCTCTGATAATTTTGATGGCCCTCTTTCGGACGCTCACTCCAGTGTCTTTGATCCTCTCAGCAACCTTCTCAAAGTACTGCATGAAACCGAAATTTTCAGAGTGAAAAGCTGGGTACAATCAATAGTGCATTTATACATAGAAAGTAACAAAATAAATCAGCCTACCTGCAGGCCAACATCAGGATGTGAAGCAATATGCCTTCCTACCAGTTCCAATGCAGCTTCCCTAACAGAAATTGCAGAATCACAAAATCTTCCTTCTACGGCTAATTGAACGGATTTATCGCGTAAGACCTCTAGATCAGTTTCTACTATAATGCTGACCTGTTCCCATTAAAAGCACACGAAGAAGAAGAAGAAGAAGAAGAAGAAGAAGAAAGAAAAAGAATTAAGAAATTCCATCACAAAAGTAACATAATAATTAAAATTGAGCTGGTGCTCGAATTGCAACTCTATCTTACAGCTCGCAGTGCCTTGGCCCTGATTACAGGAGAGTTCTCCCTTAAACTTGCCTGCAAATAGTAGTACACATGTAAGACTAAAGTCTACTCAATGATGAGAACAGCTGAAGTACAATCTCACCCACCAGAAGCATATGAAGAATTTTGTCAAACCCTCGAGCAAAAGAACTATTTTGTCCCAGTGCTAACGTAATCTTCTTCATCGAGTCCCTCGTCAGCATGGAATGGCTAGTACCAGAATCACGCACAACAAGATTTGATTTTAGCCTCGTGATGTCATAAGTCAACCTCTGCTCAGATTTTGAGTCATCCTTGTACCAAAGGCACATATAGAACCTGCACATGGAATGTCTTTCTAAACTGATAATAAATATAAATTGTCTGGGAAAGAGATGAAGGATTATTCAAGTACAAACCAGCCGATGAACTGATGCATATCATCAGCAGAAACTGAATCTTGGAGGAAGTTTAAAAGCGTCTGTTGAATAACTTCAACTTTTGTGACCATATTAGAAGTTTCAGAATTTTTAGCAGATGCAGATCTGTTTGCTCTCCCATTATCTTTGCGCTGCATGTTACAAAATGACTGTAACACCAGAAGCTGCTTCTTGCACAGACAAATCTGACAATGCCAGTTCTGATTGGTTTCACATTCTCTGCCACCTGTGCAATCAGAATGAAATAATCTGTCGCAACCTTGACACATGAACAGTGCTTTCCCAACTCTTCTATCTAAGCAAACACAGCATGCATCTTTTGGGAAACTACAACCCGCATCATCTTCACTGTCTAATGCTTGTAAAATCCAAAGTTTCTCCTGGCGGCAATTGACAGAATCATGTTTCAAACTTGTGGCAATCATGCCAAGAAGATCAATTGCCATAGATCGCGCAGAAACATCCTTGGATTTTAGCCCAGCATTCTGCAGTAATAAGACGCAAAGTACCTGCAATTCACAATCTTTAGTAACAGAAAAGGTATCATGATCCATGCAAATGCAACATATCCCTATATCTCACCTCCAGAATGAGAGCTGAAGCAGGGTACTCGGGTAAGTTCAGAGTGGTCAGTAAGTCTGTAACAAGGTTTTCCATGATAAGCTTCAGTTCAGCAGAATCCTGAGCTTTCACAGCCGTAAATCGCTGAAGTACACGAGTCCAGAAAAGACAGCATGTTTCCGTTACAGCTTCATGGCATTTAGAGATGTAAGTAGCATCCAAAGAGACTTCCAGGATGGAATGAGCAGTCGCCGCGTGCCTTAACGCTTCAGGAAGGTTTGCACTACTGTGTACCAATTGAATTAGCAAAGCAGTGACCATCTGAATCTGCTTTTGATCTTCATCAGGCAAGTGATAGGATCGGAGGGCTCGCTTTGAGACAGGTAGCTTCCAGAGCAGCTGAACCAACTCATCAACAATATAGGAACGATGTTGTGTGTATGACAAGAATATCTGCATCAAGATAGAAGAAGTCAAATGAGACTAACTAAATCCTCTACCATAGCAATGTGATCTAGAAATCATATGAGTGTATAAGTACATGTACTTGGGTAAAAATTAAAATGCACAAGCTCCCAACAACAGTATACAGATCTCTACCCCACAAAGTAGACCCATTGCCTTCAGCTGCAGGAGTTGAACATTGTCAACCATGAGCGTTGTAAAGCTGGTCTTCACTAATTGTAAAATGCAACTATCTGATAACCTCTCTATCGACAACAGATCCTTCAGTAAACAAATAATAGTGCAAAGTTTCTGCAGAATTGTATTCATGGCACTGTTGACCCTATAAAAGATGGCAAAGAAAGGGCAAATGATTAGAAGAACGTTTCTCTGAAAAGGGGGGAAAAAGTGAATGACAATTTCAGAGCAGATTGACAAACAAAGAACACACTTATTGTAAGCGGATTTCTTCAGTCTCACACTCTTCTGAACACGCCTTCTCTTGCCTGATGGACAGTAATCAGCCTCAGGGTCTTCATTCTCATCACCTGATTAGCAAAAAGAAGGAAATCCAATTACATGTTCAGAATAAACATTCGTCTGTAATCAGTAAAATTGTTCAGGATTTATAAATACTTATTAATAAAGATAAAGAAGAAATGACATAATAGGGTACTATAGAACACCATCTATCATTATACATGAGTCCTTTTAAGATTTGAGTTACCACAGCTGCAAAGTATATATATTGATAAATGGTCCAAAGGAAGAAAAACAAGGAAAGCCATCCCCATCCAAGGTCAACGGCCCACCTTCATATGCTTCAGGTTCGTTTGGCTTATGCAAAGCCCGAAATGCTGGATCATAAGCTGACAAAATACCCAATATCTGATACTTAGAGAACTCCAGAATCCTTTCAATGAGCTGGCAAGAAAAAACCTCAACCCATCAATAGATCTAAATAGTCCAAAAACTTGAGTAGAAAAGAGCGTGAACGTGGAAACATAGCACAGGAACCACAATTACAGGACATTCAGTTTCAATAGGATCTGAGAAATGAAGCCAAAAAGAAAATGCACCTCTTCTTTGTAGAGCTGTTTTGGCATGCTATTGTGAGTCATTACAGCTAGAGCTGCATGGATAGACTCCAACGCAGAGAAGACGTAAGAGACTGCATCTGAGCCCGACTGCGACATTTGAAGCGAAACACACTTTTTAATGAAAACAAAATGTAGGGAAAAGAAAGTAACAAGAACAACATCATGAAACGTAGCCCAAATAATCTTCAGTTAAAAAGGCACAATCACACACTGAGCATACCAACAGGGAGAACATAGCGGTGAGCATACGAGAAACTAAATTAACAAGACTTCATTTTAGTTGAAGAAAATGTCTCCTATAGCAATCTGATTCACGAAGAGTCCCACATCCAAAAGGAGAGCACGAACCATACAATGACCATGTTGAAGTGATATAGTAAAAATTAATAGGAAGAATACTTTGAAACTTCTCAGAGAAACTAACAACTAATAATATTCCTAGAGAAAGCAAATGGGTTGGTTTGAATAATTTTGGTCAAATAAACACAACCACAAGTCAATTCATATTAGTATATTACATAATTTGGTTGATAGGTCACCACCATCAAATTGGTCCCAAAACCAAAACGTCAGGTGGGGTTTTGGTAATTTCAGGTTATACAGTTTCCAGGAAATACATGAAAAATACCTAATCTATCAATTAACAAATATTTTCCAGAAAAAAAACATTCTTTTTAGAAATAAAAAGCTAGTTTTATGTGCGGTCACATGTTCATCCTTATTGTGAATTATTTTATTTCTTTTATTTGTAGTTCATACTTTTTTTATAAGATACGGCTAAAACATAAGGTACTGAGAATTTAACTATCGTCACTAAATTGGAAAGTGATAATATATAGAAACTATTAAAAAAACGTAACACAATGCCAAAAACAGGAGGGAAATGCATTTTAAAAAGTAAATTCATCACTCCACTAAGATATGTTAAGAAAGACACATGTCTACAAGAGAAGGCTGTGGAAGATGTGACTCAAAGACAAGTCACTTGAGGGAGATGTGGAGGGTGGATTTGGGATTGGAGGACCTTTCTCGGGAACCAATCAATACTCGACATCCATCACATTTCAGCCATTTGGCCTAGACATCGGATCTGTCCGATTACCCAACAGCTCTCTCCCAACTGGCAAATTATAACAGATATTTGTTTTAATGCCTTTTGATTCCAGGTGATCAAAATGCCAAACCAACCCTACATTTTGGACCGGACTTAGAGCAAACAAACACTGTCTTAATCAGAAGTAGTTAAGGAAACTTACATGGTCCAATTGGTCTATTGATATGCCTTCTGCTCGATGTATCTGATGGTCTAGAATTCGTAACAATCTTACAAGGGCCTCAAGAGGGACCAAATGTAGAAGTTTCTTTCCACGAAGTAACATGATTTCATTAACAAGCAAACTAATATCACTAGCAGGTAACGCCAACCAATCCACTTCATCCCGTTCATCATTCGCAACTTCAGCTTTGCCACAGAATTGCTCCAGTATATCACAGAAGTTCCTAATAGTAGCATCTGAACAAGGACAGGCCACTGAGTCTTTGTGTGGAATATATATTGTTTATGAATACCTTAGTGTCAATATAACATATGCGAAAGACCAAAATCTTATTATAATGCATACCCTGTAATTCAGAAGGGTCACTTGGTTCAAGCTCAGACGGGTCACTCACTTCAACCGGCACTGGTGCCACACTGCCTTTCCTCTTACCTTTTGGTTTTCTCATAGATGAATCAGTATCCTGCAATATTCCTTTGCATAAGAATCACCATAGCAGCAAATGCTTAATATTAACTCATCTCAGATACCTACATTAGGCGTATAGCTGCTGTGGCGGCTTTCCTGATCATTGCCATTTTGTACTTTAAGTGGAACAAGGATGCTGGGCTCAACATGGACAAGCTTGTTTTCCAAGGCTGCGTTTCCAGAAAATTGCTCCTTACTTGAGAAACTTGAACAAATAAAATAACCACAACAAGAGCAAAGCTAAGTGTTTCCTACAAAGCATAGCTATGTTAAGCAAGGGTGAGCCAATTTAGCCTAAGAATATCACTTGACAATATACCAAGTTTCTGCATCCAATTAGAGATGCCAAAGCAGTCTTCTGTTGATTTCTCATATTCTAATTTCAAGAAAATAACACAGCCTGAAAAATCCCATTATTACGAATCCACAGGACAGTGTATTTGAATTCTTTCTGCCCATTAGATTTGAAAACATACTCCAATTGCTCAACTATTGGAAACATGTGCCTAAACATAGGAACGAAGCTTATCTACATGCAAAAATACTTGAAAGAGGAAGCTAGAAACTTTGTTTACCATGAGTGGGATGCTCATATGCTTCAGGATTGTGCCGTAGAACCTGGTCATGAAGTTCCAAAGGTACCACATTATCCAACCCCATCCGCCTCACATCGTTCCTAAGGTGGCTGAGATTGAAAAAAGGGATAAATAGCGTCAAAGTAGTACACCAAAAATGACAGATGTAGACAACTCAAGTTCTTTAACACAAGCCAGAACTTATCAACTACACTTATCAGGGTAATGGATTTAAAGGGGACGGTCAATCGCATTCAATCTCAACAGTCAACACAAACAAGAGCCAATGACTAGGTTGCATCATAAAATTACAAACGCCGAAACGACAAAGCCGTCCTTCAAATTAAACTTTCCAGAATTAGGTCACATTGTCAATCCTATCCCAACATCAGATGCTCAATTCAGAATGAAGGAAGAACAACTCAAGCTCCTTGAGCATGATTTAGTTGCCACTAAATGTGACTTGGGAAACAATGCAACTCAGGTACAACTGTGTTCTTAGCCAAAACAGCATCTGAATACAGTTTCTGAAATATTTATGACATATTTAACTCTTGATAAACGAATATCCCACGATTCTCACTTTAAGTGCGCGTTATAAAGATGCAAAAGTGGCACTTCCTATTCAAATGGTGATCCTGTTTGTATGTACCTTCTCCGAGTAATTCAACTGCATGTAGAATGCACTTTTCAAACTCTTCCCCAATAGTTTGAGCATCTGCATTGCTTTTTTTTCTTTTGGTGCCAACAATTTTTTTTTTTTTTATTGTCTCCTACTTGCTGCATCAAAATCCAAATTACAATACTGCATCACATTCAAACGACACACTAACTACTGCATTGCCACATGGACTCAAAGTAACCTTACAGTCTATTTCTCAAGTCAATCCAAGAGACTCCACCAATGATTTGAGCCAATGTTACAATAGAGGCAAGCAAACTTAACTGCCCTCCCTAGCAGGGAATTACACCGCTACCGAGTAGTACGCCTAAGTTCAACTAGCAGGAACTAGAATTACCACTAACTCTGACTCCCTCGCTTACTAAACTTATCACGTACTCAGAAGCAATGGCGACTAAGCATGCGCTCGAATAAGCAACTGAAAACACTTACAGGTAGGAAACATCGGTATCGCCAAGCATACTGGCAATTCTAGCAGACTGAGCCACAATTTCATTTCGATTCAAGTACCAAAGGTCTCCACCGCCGCGCTCGTCGAACAGCCGGAGTTCCGGATCGTAAGCGCCGCAGAACACCGGGAGCGAAGGTAAGGGCAAGTATGGCGCAACTTCCGAGTGTATAGTGTTGGAGAGGCCAACGCCTTGGGCACCGAAGCCCGAAGCAGAACCACCGGGGTTAGCAGCCGGATTGCTCATAGCTGGACTAACCGGAGAAATTGCAGTTCGAAGGGGGAGCGCATTAAGAGAAGAAGTGGTTCGGAGAGGAATATATGTGGGAGCAGAGATCAAGTTGAGGAAGGAGAGATTCTGACTTATGAATGATGGAGTTGCAGAGCGGGAGAGATAGAGAGGTTCGCAGCCCTAAGATTCGGAGGAAGAAATTGGGGAGAGAAGGAAAAGGGGAAACAAGTGGCGGGGAAAGTAAAATGGGAAATTGTCGTAGAAAAATTCAGAAAAATAACCCTTCGGTTGACTGCCTTCACTACACTTTCATTTTTCTGGGGTTTTTCTGCATAGATTTTTATTTATGTTCTTCGCTTTTTCAAATTTTCTTCTATTTTTCGGGAACTCGCCGTCTGCAATTTGGTTCGGATAGTTGCTGGCCCATGGAGATTTGAATAAATCCGGAAAGTGGTTAATTACGGGGATGCCCCTGGTCAGCTTGCTGCACAAGTTTCATGAAAATTTTGAATAGTAGAAATAGCCAAATAGGGCTAAGATTTCCTTAGTCGCATTAAAATGCAATGGTTCAGATTGATCTCATTTAATAAAGAGTATTAAAATTCAACGATTCAGATTGATCTCATTTAATAAAGGGTAATGTAATAATTGTATGATTTATTAATTTTAATTATTAAATAATAAAAACACTTTCATGCACAGGTTGGCGTCTCGTCGTGCTGGGTTTCTCGCGTCTCCACGGCGGTGATGGATTTGCACCACCCAGGTTGGCGTCCCGTCGCCATGCGGTGAGGGATCTTCATCCCATGACCCAATTAATCACCCCATTGACTCAATTTTCCTTTGCGTACGTTGCAGAGAGAGAGTTTTTCCGACGTCGGCAAGAATTTCCAGGCGCCGGCGAGAATTTCCGGCCACAACGAGATTTTTTCGACGACAGCAGTATTTTGTAATATTTGTAAGTCTGGTTTGTAATGTTTATTGTTTGAGCCACGTACCCCCGGTCTCGCCTCTTCCCGCTCTACAACTGGTGGACGCGCTTGGGGCGCCTAGACCCTGCACAGATGAGCGCCTAAAGGGCTTTTGGGTGCCCATTAGCACTCCAACGCTCAAGTCAGTGCCAACTCTAGAGAGATAAGTGCTAAGAGAGATTTTAGTGAGAGAAGCCCACCTGCGTAAATGCCACCTACCGAGTACAATTTATACTCGTCAAGGTCTCGACCAGGCTCCTAGAATTCAGCTCCACGTCAGCGCGTCATTAAATGCTCGGTACGGCCCAACGGTCGGGCGCCTACACGTGGCAGCTTCTGGGCTCCTAAGCCTAGGCGCCCGCAGTGACCACACTGCCAGGTGGCACGCCCTCAGCCCCCTGGTCCCCTAGATGCACCGTCCCCGCCCTATTCTTGTCGTTATGCGCCTGCTCACCCTTGCATGGGCCTGACTCCTAGCTTGCATCCCCTTCTCCTAGTTCTCAGGTGGGCTTGGGCCAAGGCAACCCTCCATGGGTCCATGTCCCCCAATGGTCCATTTATGCTTACCCAACAATTGTCCCCCAGTTAGGCGCTCATGGTTCACGATGAGTGTCTAACTATGTGTAATACTGGGTAGTCTTTTCGATGCAGGTCCCTACCTGTTTGCCCCAATTGTACATGGGCGGTTAAACCACTGTCACACTGTTTGTAGGTCCTCAACTGCTCGACGGGCGCCTGGCCATCCCCATTGTTTAGGTCTCTTCTAGGCGCTTTCTTGGGTGTTTAATAAACAACCACTGTCTCCCTACTCCTGCATTAATTAAGGCTCTCGCATCTTTTGTTTTCCTGTCCCCCATTTGAGCATCCATAACTGGCGCTGAACGCCTATCCACGCAACATTTTAAGGACGATTACTTCTGTGGCCCCCATCCTGCCTACTATGAGCCTGACTACCCGCGTTTTCCATAAAAAGGCGCCTAGACCAATGCCTTGCATCTCGCCAGGCGCCTACGTCCGTGGCCTCCATCCTGCCTACTATGAGTCTGACTACCCGCGTTTGCCATAAGAAGACGCCTAGACCAACGCCTTGCATCTCACCCCTATATGCCCCCCTCTCCGTGCATCTTGAAATTTGAATTTCTAATTTTTTATTATTATTATTATTATTATTATTTATTTTTTGGAAATTTGAAATTCAAATTTCAAACGAACGGTGAGGATTAGATCTGAGGGTCGGGCGCGCATCCCCGCATTTGCCCGTTGGGGGTCTTCCTCATATAAATACTTCGGTCCACCACCACCCCTCCTCATTCGCACAAACTCCTTCTCTCTTTAGCTTTCTCTCTCTACTCCGAGTCCTCTGTGCGCCTACCCTCCTCCTCATAATTGTAAAGAATGTCCCGCACATCCCGCTCGGGCGCCCCCTCCACCGACCCGATGAAGGAACAGACGTCGGAATCCAATGTCCTAAAGGAACTGGAGGGTCACTTCTCACCCGATCCTCTCCGCGAGAAGGGCGCATGGACCCCCCGCTCCAAAAGTTAGGCGCCCCATAAAGCCGATGCGCCTTCGACTGCTACGCCCCCTAGTGCTCATACAACTTCTGCAGACAACGCGGTTGACAAGTCTGCAGCGCTCTCCCTTCCTCTCACAACCTCCTCAGGCGACGTGGCGGCGGCGGCGTCTTCGAATCCGAAACCAAGTAAGTTTGACGCTTTTTTTTTGGCGCCTGTAGTTGATTAGGGCTTAGAATTAATTTACCCCCTTTGCGTCGAACATTATAGGCGCCGCGCCTGGATCTCCGCACTCGTTCGAATCGCCAATGTCCCCACTATCCTCCGATTCAGGGGCCCAGGAGGGTGAATCCATCAAATTACGGAGATGGGTGTACACCTGGCCATCGGGGCAGGCGCCTGATGAGACGTGCCATATGTCTCTTAACGAAGCGGGGCCGCGAAAAACCTCAACTGTGAAAGCACTCGAGTTAGATAACCTGGTCGTGTCACTACAACTGTCGCGATCCTGGTCCTATGCGCTTGCCCCTAGCATGGCCAGAGTTGGAGTAGTTGGACCCCGGTGGCTAGGCATCTACCGAGAGTATTTTCGTTTTGGACTCCGATTTCCCCTTGACTCTATCCTCGAAGGCATATTAACAACTTGTCGATGCTTGATTGGGCGTCTGTCCCCCTCCGTTTTTCTTATACACATTCTTTTTAAATTGAAGTGCCGTCAGCATAACGTCGAGCCTACCTTCAACCTTTTTCACTATTTTTTCAATATGGTCTATACCGATAACTGCCTATCACTGCAAAGGCGCCTGGGTCTTCCCGGCCACTTTCTGCTATAGTGTCCCAAGTTAGGGAGAGAGTGGTTTAGGAGCTTCTTCTTTATCAAGGCGCATAAGGATTCCTTCTACGAGAGTGGCGCCTCATTCACAAGAGGTTGGGTGATGGGCGACCACGAGGCGTTCAACACTGACGTGACCCCGTCCACCGTCCCTGAAATTGAAGGCGCCCGGCTAATTTCTTTGCACCCGATTAACCTACGTCCTACAGCTTCCCGGGCGCCTATCTTGGAAGATTATTATCGTGATGGTGGGCGCCTAACTATAATGTAGTTATGCCTATTATAAGTTCCCCTTTATATTTTTACTAACAAACTTGGCCTATATGTGTTTGTGCAAGCTCAGACTTCTCCTCCATCAGCAACCTCATGAAGTCGCAATTCGCGCAGCTCGGGTTGGTGGCGAAGCAGGCGCCTACCTCAAAGAAAGGTGGCAAAAAGGCTGGTGGAGCAAAAAAGCAGGCGCATACCTCAAACAAAGCCAACACTGCCCCCACTGAGGTTGAGGCGGCTGCCCCCGTGATTAGCAAAGGCCAGGGGCGCCCAAGCCGGAAGGCGAAGTCCCAAAAAAGGATTCGGCCGAACAAGGTTCCTAGTCCCCAGGCGCCAGAGCCCTTAGGCGATTTGCTTGAAACATGGGATGCGCCTCATGCCACCGAGCCTACAAAAGTGCAGGCGCCTGTTGTAGATCTAGCGGGGTCCGGTTTGCCCGAAGATGACGAGCCATTGGCTGTCAGGAAGAAGAGGAAGACAGAGGGCGCCCACAACGATTCGGGTAAGCGCCCATGCCTATCGGGCGATGCAGAGGTGCCAGAGGGTTTGGAGAAGTGGCTTCAACCTCCGAAGCACAAGGTGAGCATTGTTTGCTCTGACAGATCAGCGCTGGAACGAGGCACCGCCCTCAATATGGTTTTGACTGCCGGAGACGTGCTCCGGGCGCCTCTGGACTTGGAGGGCGCCGATCCCTGGGGGGAGGTGGCGCGGATAAACGCCCATGTGAGTATTTTACCTTGTGTTTTCGTTTGTATTAAATTTTTTGTTTACACGCCATGAAACGCTTGATTATTTCCACTCTGTTCCTTTTGTCTTTGTAGATGATGCTGGTGGCGAAAAAGGGAATAATGGAACGCGAAGCGCTACGCGTCGCGGCCAATGAAGCAACCACCTCACTCAGTGGGTAAAAAATCCAAATCTATCACAGTTTAGAAAAAATTTACAAATATACCACCTAAACCAAAAATATTCCAAATCTACCACCATTATTTGAAAACCGTCTGGGGAAGCGGCGGTTCAAAGGAGAACCGCGCGGGGAAGTGGAGGTTTCCCTTAGGGCAGCTGCTCCCCCACGTGGCTTTTCTGCAAACCGTCGGATGAGGGCGCGATCCGGCGGCAGACCGCACGACAGGTCCACGATCCGTGTCTGGTCGTGGTAACCGCTACTCGAAGGCGCGGTTTGCACGTTGAAAAATGGAAACCGTTGGCCGGGGGGTACGGTTTCCTTTGGTGTAAAATTACAAAACAGCCCCCAATCAGGCGGTTCAAACACTATATAAATCCCCTCCTCCTCCTCATATCCTCACACCAAAATTCATTCTTTTCTCTCTCTAAGTTTATCTCTCTATCCATCCCCCTCTCCACCCAAAAACCTAGGAAATAATGGTATGTTGGTTGCGGCTAAGTCCGGACTGCTATCAAAACACATTTCTTTGGTTTTTCCTTCAAAACCCGTCGAATTCCTTTCTGGTTCCTGAAAAAATGACTTATATTTTCGAAGAAGAGGGTATTTATTATGATAACTATCAAGCGGTACGTACTCATTTTACCTAAATTTTATTGTTGTTATAATGATTTTATTTAATCTATATACTAATTAATTTATGTTGTTGTTATGCTATCGTAGAGGTTGGGGAGAACACTGATATTTACAATCAAATATATTATGTTGATCAAGGACCGATTGATCCATCCGTGTTGTACGACCAAGATAATCATCGTTCAAGGGATGTTTGGAACGATCACAATGTACATATAATTTATCATCACTTGTCATTTCTTTTTTGTTAACATAAGTTAGAGGTTTGTAAAATAAATTTGTTAATTGTTAATCATATTGATTATTTTCAATGATTTAAAATAATACAATGTCACTTATTTAGACTCTTTATAAAGAGATGCATGTCTAAGGAAATGGGGTTTTAAGCGATCATCATGATCCTCCCATTTTTTGGGAAAATCGGGTTCTAAGCGATACTCGGAATCCCCCTTTTCTTTAAAAAAAGATTGTATTTCTAAGAAAATGTATATCTCTCATTCTTCCTCTGCATGTTCTCCTTCTCTGCCCGATTCCCAAGACGACACAACTGATCGGATTTTGAGTTTCCCTTCGAGTTCTAGGAAAAGAGGTGATTCTGGGGCGAGGTGCTCTGTGTCAGAGTTCTGGGTTCCTTTCCTTGTTCGTGATTGAAGCGTACCGACGAGTACTCGACGAAGGAAGAAGAGGAGCCCTATCGATTCCGACATCCACCGATTTCCAGTTAAGATTTCGCTTTTGGGATTAGCCAGAATCGAAGTTCATAACTGCCAGATTCGCCTGTAGTTCTTCTGATATCGATCCCGTAAAACTAATTGTTTATCACCCTCCCAATTGCTGAGCGGGAAGTTGAAGTTCGTTTGGCTGCTTGGCGATTGGGATGCCGAGGAGTTTGCGCCACAAGTCGAGCAAGCAAAGTTCAAAGTTTGCGAAGGAGACCAAAGCAATTAGCAATGGGTCGTCCTCACTATTGCTGGAAAACGACATCTTCTTCTGATCAAAATCGAGGGAGGGATTGGTCGGAGTTTGGCTACATTGTCTGGTGGGCGACGGGCTGGGTTTAGCTGATTTTTTATACTTTATTTACTTTTCTAATTTCATTTTGAAAAATAATATATGAAAAATTAAAATTAAAGAATACTAATATTGCCACAGCTTAACAACCAAATTGCCACGTCAAAGTCAACTAACGATAAATCGAATGGAAAGTTAACGGAATAGTTACTATTTTGTTTTTTGAAAGATTTAGTTATTGTTTTGTTTAAAATTAAAAGTTTGACTATTAAATTGTATTACCTCTATCTAACAACAATGAGGGCAGTACCAGAAATATGGGTAAACCACATCTCTCATATGTACACTGTTATCAGCCAGCTATCATTGATCACCTGAAATACACGGGATCAGCTGCTGCACTTCTCAGAGTATCAAACTTGACCAGAGCCACCCTGTAAATGGTTGTTTTCTCATCAGCACCACTAGCCGTGATGAACGATGGACCATAAACTAACACAAATGGTCACTGGAAAACTGCTATGCCAGAAACAAATGATTTAACTTAGCAGCAGACAGCAGTGAAGGTCTAACCTGAAGATGGTAATGCAGAGGAAGACCAAGTAGATACCTAGCTTGATCACCCTCTGCTTCTTCTCGCGATCAAGACTCCGGAACACTTCAGTGACATCAATTAGATGCTTCCGTTTCAAGTAGCTACATCCACACAATTCAAGAGAAAGACAATTAGACCACACAGCAGAAACTAGTACCAAAATTGACGACCAAGAACTGATCCAATGATTCTTCTCTATTGATGGCTTAAGAGTTTCAGTCCCTAGATACCGATTCATAAACCCAAAAGCAACAGAGTATAGACAACAACCAGAAACCCAATGTAGATAGCTAGATAGGTACTTACAGCGTCAAATGAAAGCAGGCAATGGGGAGTGAAATGAGAACCATGACCCAGTGACCCGTGACGAGGAAGAGAAAGCACAAGATCCATTGCAGGATGAACTCAGGCAACACGAACTTATTGACTCGAGCTGTTGCTTCAAATGGGTCAAGTTGGTCTGCTTCCATGTCTGTCAAGGCCAACAGCTACAAAAAGTTTCACCCTAGATTTCAGACGGAGACAAGCAATGAACTTTAGGATTCAAATTCGATTGGGGGAGCTAGAAACTCAACTCAGTATCATTGTTCAAACTAGCTAGCCTAAATTCCAGCAAGTGTTTTACAAACTCGGAAATCTCAGCTATCCTTCATTTTTGTTCTGAACTTTTTTCTCCGGCGACCATCGCAGCAGTGTAATTAGAAAAGGGAAAGGAAAACCACAAGTGGAAGTTGAGGAACGGGAAAGCAGGAACAGAGGGAGTACCGCGTGGAAGACGATAGCAAGGAGGCCTAAGTTGAGGACGCAAAAGAGCATCCAGAGAAGCAAATAGGACGCCATGATTTTTCTTTCTTGCTTTGCCACCACTGCTGCCAGAACCCAGAAAGAGAGATGGCGAGCCAGCCAGCAAGTGAAACAGAGTGAGAATGCTGGTTAATTACGTAACGATCACATACTTACGGGTTACTAACAAAACAGTCACTTAAATTTGTTTTATAACAAAATTCATAATAATTCTCCACGTTGTCTTAGGATCTTTTCACCAGATGAGTGCACCACAGTGAATTTGGTAAGAGTTTGCTATCTTCGTAGGGACTGAAAGACGCAGAAGTTATAGGAATGAGTTGAACCATTGTTTTCCATTTTACTGTTTTCATAAACCAACTCTTATCTGCAACAGCTGGTACTCGAGTCACATTAGTAAATCTAACTCTGCTTTTACTTGATCATGATCATTGGCACAGGCACCAGCTTCTGCGCTCCCAACTACAAGCAAACCAAGCCCTTTGGTAGCCGATTACAACCTGTCCCAGACAAACACTTCCATACAAGATATAGTCTCATCAGATCATAAGATCAGAACGGTAATACAATGATGATAGCTGGTTGAAGGTATTAGGACAGACGACAAATATAAATAACACAAATGCATAATAGAACAGGGCAGAAAAGAACTCCACTTCAACTTCCTTTAAGGAGTATACAAGAAAACCAGAATAAGAGTACAGATCTTCCAAATAATTTTAGCTACTTCTTTATTCGTTGCTGCACAATGGTTGCTGGTTAATCCTAAGATACCCCTTAAATGCGTGTAATCAAATAGACAAGGTATTTACAATCATATGACCTGCAAATACATCGATGCAGATGATTCCACAGCCATAACTAAATCTCCAATGTACACTACCGACACATTGGTGAAATCAGAATTAAGATCCAGAGTGCTAACATGCCATATGTTGGAAGGGTTCTTGTTTCAGTAGTCCCGCTCATTTCCAATCAAGCATGTCCAATAGCCACAATACCTCGTCCTTAGAGTTGGCAACATCGTTGAAATCCATCTGAATGCCAAAAACATCAATTTCACACTCATCTCCACCTTCCATGAAAAGCAGCGAGATCCATCCCCGGATGTTTGGCAAGAAACGATACGTGGGGGAAATGTCAATGACGTCGAATGCCATTGCTCTATAAGAAGACCGATCAATATAATCAAACATAGCTTTGTGAATGATGCGGGCAAGCTTGTTGGTGTCCTTGCGCCCCACGAGCACTGAAACACTAACAGGCTGACTCAATGGCAGTTTGAAGGTTGGCTCAACCGCCAGCATCATCTTGTACTCTGTAGCCTGCAGGTGATATCCAAGGACGCTGGAGATTCTATGGGGAGGGAGTTTGATTCCAGCGTCGAAAACAGGACCATGCACTACGTCTGAATAAATCAACTTGTCTCCAGCCCATATGTCGATATAAAATTCCAAAGTATCAAAGCAAAGTCTCGGCGGATGCAAGATCTGATGATTCTGCCTTTTGTAGAAGCTCTGATAGAGCTTGTAGTAGGACATAGTTGAAAGGTTAGGTCTTTTGCAAATCGATGGCCATCTCTTTGCACACTGGCATTTCCAGAAATAATCATCCTTGGCCATATCTCTCCATTGTTTGCTTACGGCCATACAAGAAGCAAGGTCTATGCCATCCAGTAGAGCGAAAACAGTTTTCAGAATTTCATCATTTGGCATTGTCTGTCAGCTACAAAGTTGAATTGAGAAGAAATATCTGCATGTCAGCCACCGTTCTATCAACTTATTGCAAACTAAGAATTAGGAGGAGTGACACACAGCAAAAACATGCTTGATAGAATATAAGCTCCAAAACTGGGAGGGAGAGTTAGTTTTAAGAAACAAAAATACATAGCCTGCTCAGTTCAGTAGTTCAAACTATACATGGAGAAGCCAAGGCTTTCAGAATTCAACCATACTCGGAGTTGAGATATCCATCATGGAATCCACACTAACAAATCAATTCAACTTTGAGCAGGAAGAAAAGCAACATACATTTCTTATCATTAAGCAATAACAACATAGCCACCAAATCAATCCCAATCATCAGCAGAAAACCATTCATCCCTTTTTTCCTCAGTATCATAAAGGACCATGCAGAAGCTAGTTTCGAAACGAAAACCCAGCAGCAGAACAAGGCCAAACAGGTACAAGATTCAAACTTTGCATTCGTCACTTATATCTCAACCATTAAATTTCATCTTAACATCTGCAAGGCACCATCTAAAACTCCACGAACTTTCTCTTACCACCACACTAAGAAGCATCAAGGATCTTAAAAGCTCAAAACTTAGGGATAGCCACAGACATCAAACGAAACGACGCCACGGTCCCGGAATTTCAAGGACCCCTTAAGCAACGAAAACTCATAGCACGATTGTTGAATCACGGTCCGATCATTGAATTGAAGACACACAACCGAAATCCCAATTCACAAATGAACAGCCTAGGGAATTGTCGGGGAAAAAATCCATAAAATGAACAGAGCAATTGGAAATGGAGGAAAAGCATAAAGAGTAAGCTGTGATCTAGCGAGTAGCGGGCTCTTGTTCGGAGACTAATAGTGATAACCAGAGGAAAGCAAAGGCAGAAGGAAAGGATTGCTCGAGGAAGGGGGCGATTGGGAGTTCTTCTGAAAGAAAGGGTTTACCTGGTTGTTCATCGGCGAAGAACCGCTGACTTTTGAGAGTTGCTGCAGCGTTGAATTCGCAGAGGTAAAGGGAGATCTTGTTCGCAGTTAAAGATCAGCGGACCTTTCTACCAACAAAAAAAAGATCAGCGGACCTGAAAATGAAAATGGAGAGGTTTGGAATTCAGCGAACACTGATTACATTGCGCACAGAGATTAGCGTGATGATAAATAAAAGCTCAATTTGTTTTGTATAATTACAAATCACTACATACAGTTTGAACTATCTTCACTTTTCACGTTCCATCTTTCCAACACTTAGGGATGACAAAAATATCCGTAACCGTGGATATCCGCCCGAATCCGACCTAATTGGGTAGGGTAAAAACCGAACCCGAAGGACTTTTAGTGGGTACGGGTAAAACCCGAACCCGAATATTACGGGTAATGGGTGGGCATGGTTTTCTCACTATCCAACCCGAACCCGCCCGATTATACACATGCATATGTATTTTGTCTAGAAATAATCAATATTTTTCTCTAACATATTTTATATCTAGCATATAAATATAATATTTTTATGAAATTGTGTTGTTTTAATTAATTTTCTTCATTCTAGTGAATTATTGTCATACGTTTTGTCTTACATAACATGAGAAAACGTGTGAATATTAACATATTGATTAGAGTTATAAAGAGAAACTATTACCCATGGATAACCGTGGATACCCGAAACCCGAATGGGTATGGGCATGGTTTGGATTTTCTACCCGTTTCTTAAGTGGGTATGGGTTTGGGTAAAACCCGAACTACTTTGGATAGGGTAACGGATATGCACTATCCGTCCCCGACCCGACCCATTGCCATCCCTACCAACACTCACTAAAGAGAAGAGAGTATCGCTGTAATTCCGTCGGTTACTTAAAGATATGGACACATGGTCGTGCATATATAATTGTCATTCACTTGAATCTATTCTTTTTGGGATTGCTATTCGTCGCCCTAAAAATCCTTATTCGTCGCCCTAATTAAGTTAATTTTACTTTAATGTCCTTAATTATTTTATTTGTAATTTAAATAAACACTTAAATCCAAACAAACTTATTACTGGAAATAAATAAAAAAACAAACTAATTATTGTAAATCATGATTAAGTAATTAATCCAATCTTATTTTGACCTAAAACGATTCATGTTTGACTTGCGGTCTGCATTCTGCAATGGTAAAAGCGACTATCAATCAACCACAGTAAGCTCTGCGCGACATGGTTATCTCCAACTACGGAAAATCGTTTAATGTCACTGCTTTGATTACCCAAACCGATGTCGTACCCAAGCCTTAACCTACTCAGGTGGCCGTGCCCTCCGGCTTCCACGTCGCCGGCGAGTGATTCATCAGCGGCTGGTGAGCAGCTTCCTCCGCCTCCGGTGGCGGAATTGGATCGGCCGGTTGGGATTATTGATGGGGATGGGAAGATGAGCGATGATTTTGAAGTTGGTTAGGTGGATCCGGATGTTTTGGAGAATTGGGGGAATGAAACTGAGATCGAGAGTGAAGGTGGTGAGGGATTTGAGCGGCATTGTCGTGAGAAAGGAAAAGAGCTTAACTGCTTGGTTGTTCAACCCAAAGGATACCGCCGCCAACTACTTCCATGGCCCCGGTCCTCGGAGAATAAAGCAAATTGGCTTTTCGGCAATTGCTTGGCGTAGGATATTAGGATATAAATTTTATTGAGGGTAAATATGTCAATTTAATGTATTTTAGGGCGATAAAATTTAAAATTTAGGGCGACAAATAGCAATTCAGTTCTTTTTGGGGTTAATTGCATGGTTGGTCACTGAGATTACAAAAAACGTTCATGTTTGATCACAGCGCGTCGTTTCACTGGAGTGAAGACATCATTTTCGTCGCTGGCGAGCCGCTGGAGCACTCGCTCGTCTTGCTGGTGGAGGCTAAGGCAGCGACAGAGGTGAATCGGCTTATGCCTCGAGGACGGCGAGCTGACGACGACGGAGAGGACCACGGGAGCCGCCTCTCTCTTTTTCGTTCCCTTCTCTGTTCGGATTTCCTCACTCTCCCTCTGTTTTCCCCTTCTTCTTCTCCTCAACTGTCTCTGATTTCCTCACTATCGTCGTTGCCTCCTTCTTGGTAGGGATTGCTGGGGATTGAAATGGAAATGGTTGGAGAAGGGTTAATGGTCGGGGGAACTGGGAAGAGAGGTCGGAAAAGAGTGGTGGGGGAAGATTACAGAGGTTGGGGAAATAAATGTTACTTTTTTATGGTTAAAATAAATGTTATTTTATTTTGGGAATTTTTTCTTCTCCTTTCTATCAGTGGACAATTTTTTTTTTGTTTTTTAATTAATGTAATAATGAGGTGGAAAATGTAAAATATTATTTTTTTTATTTTTAATAATTTTTTAAATTTCACGTCACATATTTAACGGTCAACTATGAAAGTTGACTGCCACGTAAGCTAGAGTTAACGGAAATGGACGGAGAGTGACCAAACTTGAACCATTTAAATAATTTGAGTGACCAAGATTGGATTTAAATATTTCCAGTGACCAAACGTGAGCGTTTTTTATAATCTCAGTGACCAACCATGCAATTAACCCATTCTTTTTGAGATGCTTCAGCTCAATAATTGTATCAAATGAAGATGTTCTCATGAACTTGACATATCCCTAACACAAAAACTTCTCTCATAATAGGGTTAAATGCACCAGTTATCACTTAAGTATACCAGATGTTGCATACTAACCACTTAACTTATTTTCGTTGCAACTAAATCACATAAGTCGAGTGACGGTTGTAACTAAACTACATAAAGTGAATTTTAGTTGCACCATCCCAATTTCCATCCACAGACGTGACGGAGGGTACCAAATAGTAATTGTTGTGTTACTATATTGCAGAAAATAAAATATTTATAATCATTTTTCACAAATGCCAAACTATTGTGAGCATTTGGGATAATTACACCTTCCTCTTTCCGCTTCTGCTTATCCTTCCTTCTTCTTTTTTTGTGGGATTATCCTTCCTTCTTTCTCTCCTTCTGCTTCTCCTTCCTTCATCACCTGACCAACGCCCTCTTCCAACAAAGCCAAACCCATCAATCCGGTCACCTTTTTCTTTCCTATTTTTGGTAAATTTCAGCGAGATAGCTTAGTTCTTTATTTAATGCGGTCTCTGTGACTCACCATTATGAAACCTTGCTCAAATGGAGACACCATACCACCACAACACACCAAAACTCCAAAGATCTTCGATAAATTGTCGGAAATCACAATGGCTCTCCTGACGACAGGCTTAAGGACTCTCTTCTCAGCGCTACGTTGCTTGATTATCGGCAATTGGATTTATCTACGCCCTTGGCCTTGCCATATGAGACTTCCTCAGACCACATGTAGCTCCCTCACCGCCTTGGAGCTTCTTCAATTTTCCCTTCAAAATTTTCGCCAAACTATCATGTTTCGTTGCTTGCATACGACAGATGGATGACGGCCACTTTACTTCGATTGCTACAACATCGTTTTTTTTTTCTTAACGGTAAATTGTCTTTTATCAATGGATATTTGACCATTTTTTCTAGACCGGGGGAACTGTTATCGTTATTTTACTTGGAATCATGTGATTCAAAATGTTTGGCTAACAGTTTCATTTGGGAGAATTTTGGGAAACTGTCAATTGGTGGCGGTGAGAAGCAGAGATTGGAAAGATAATGGTGACTTGATTGATGAGTTTGGTTTTGTTGGAAGAGACAGGGTGAGGTGATGAAGGAAGGCGAAGCAGAAAAGGAGAGTGGGGAATGCACAATTATTCGAAATGGTCACATGATTTTGGCATTAGTGAAAACTGATTATAAACCTTTTATCTTCTCCGAAATGGTAATACAATAATTACCATTTGGTACTTTCCGTCAATTCTGTAAACGAAAATTGTGATGGTGCAACCAAAATTCAATTTACATGATTTAATTGCAATCATAATTAGACTTATATGATTTAGTTGCAACAAAAATAATTTAGATGGTTAGTATGCAACATATG